ACCTTATTTCGGAAAAATATTTTATGGTAGTCAATGGCGAGAGAACACAAATATTTTGATCCCGTTTGAATTGTGCCCTGAATTACACATATGATGTTTGTCAATTTAAAAGATACATTTTAAAGTCAAGAAAGTTGCAGTTTGATTTAAAACTGTTGAGGTATAAGACTGTGAAAATACGTAATTACAAAGACTACAAACCCCAAAGGCGCACATTTTCTCTCAATGAATGAAGCTAACTTTACTGAAGCTATTTACTGAAGCTAACTTTACCGAAGCTCACTTTACTGAAGCTAACTTTACTGAAGCTAACTTTACTGATGCTAACTTTACTGAAGCTAACTTTACTGAAGCTAACTTTACTGAAGCTAACTTTACCGAAGCTAACTTTACTGAAGCTAACCTTACTGAAGCTAACTTTACCGAAGCTCACTTTACTGAAGCTAACTTTACTGAAGCTCACTTTACTGAAGCTAACTTTACTGAAGCTAACTTTACTGAAGCTCACTTTACTGAAGCTAACTTTACCGAAGCTCACTTTACTGAAGCTAACCTTACTGAAGCTAACTTTACCGAAGCTCACTTTACTGAAGCTAACTTTACTGAAGCTAACTTTACAGAAGCTAACTTTACTGAAGCTAACTTTACTGAAGCTAACTTTACTGAAGCTAACTTTACTGAAGCTGACTTTACTGAAGCTGACTTTACCGAAGCTAACTTTACTGAAGCTAACTTTACTGATGCTAACTTTACTGAAGCTAACTTTACTGAAGCTAACTTTACTGAAGCTAACTTTACCGAAGCTAACTTTACTGAAGCTAACCTTACTGAAGCTAACTTTACCGAAGCTCACTTTACTGAAGCTAACTTTACTGAAGCTCACTTTACTGAAGCTAACTTTACTGAAGCTAACTTTACTGAAGCTCACTTTACTGAAGCTGACTTTACTGAAGCTAACTTTACTGAAGCTAACTTTACTGAAGCTAACTTTACTGAAGCTAACTTTACCGAAGCTAACTTTACTGAAGCTAACTTTACCGAAGCTCACTTTACTGAAGCTAACTTTACTGAAGCTGACTTTACTGAAGCTGACTTTACCGAAGCTAACTTTACCGAAGCTCACTTTACTGAAGCTGACTTTACTGAAGCTAACTTTACTGAAGCTAACTTTACTGAAGCTAACTTTACCGAAGCTAACTTTACTGAAGCTAACTTTACTGAAGCTAACTTTACTGAAGCTAACTTTACCGAAGCTCACTTTACTGAAGCTGACTTTACTGAAGCTGACTTTACTGAAGCTAACTTTACTGAAGCTAACTTTACTGAAGCTGACTTTACTGAAGCTAACTTTACTGAAGCTGACTTTACTGAAGCTGACTTTACTGAAGCTCACTTTACTGAAGCTGACTTTACTGAAGCTCACTTTACTGAAGCTGACTTTACTGAAGCTCACTTTACTGAAGCTGACTTTACTGAAGCTAACTTTACTGAAGCTAACTTTACTGAAGCTAACTTTACCGAAGCTAACTTTACTGAAGCTAACCTTACTGAAGCTAACTTTACCGAAGCTCACTTTACTGAAGCTAACTTTACTGAAGCTCACTTTACTGAAGCTAACTTTACTGAAGCTAACTTTACTGAAGCTAACTTTACTGAAGCTCACTTTACTGAAGCTAACTTTACCGAAGCTCACTTTACTGAAGCTGACTTTACTGAAGCTAACTTTACTGAAGCTAACTTTACTGAAGCTAACTTTACTGAAGCTAACTTTACCGAAGCTAACTTTACTGAAGCTAACTTTACCGAAGCTCACTTTACTGAAGCTAACTTTACTGAAGCTAACTTTACTGAAGCTGACTTTACCGAAGCTAACTTTACCGAAGCTCACTTTACTGAAGCTGACTTTACTGAAGCTAACTTTACTGAAGCTAACTTTACTGAAGCTAACTTTACTGAAGCTAACTTTACTGAAGCTAACTTTACTGAAGCTAACTTTACTGAAGCTGACTTTACTGAAGCTGACTTTACTGAAGCTGACTTTACTGAAGCTAACTTTACTGAAGCTGACTTTACTGAAGCTAACTTTACTGAAGCTAACTTTACCGAAGCTCACTTTACTGAAGCTGACTTTACTGAAGCTAACTTTACTGAAGCTCACTTTACTGAAGCTGACTTTACTGAAGCTAACTTTACTGATGCTAACTTTACTGAAGCTAACTTTACTGATGCTAACTTTACTGAAGCTGACTTTACCGAAGCTAACTTTACTGAAGCTAACTTTACTGAAGCTCACTTTACCGAACCTCACTTTACCGAAGCTAACTTTACTGAAGCTAACTTTACTGAAGCTAACTTTACTGAAGCTAACTTTACTGAAGCTAACTTTACTGAAGCTAACTTTACTGAAGCTCACTTTACCGAACCTCACTTTACTGAAGCTCACTTTACCGAATCTCACTTTACTGAAGCTCACTTTACTGAAGCTAACTTTACTGATGCTAACTTTACCGAAGCTCACTTTACTGACGCTAACTTTACTGAAGCTAACTTTACTGATGCTAACTTTACCGAAGCTCACTTTACTGAAGCTAACTTTACTGAAGCTAACTTTACTGATGCTAACTTTACCGAAGCTCACTTTACTGAAGCTAACTTTACTGATGCTAACTTTACTGAAGCTAACTTTACTGATGCTAACTTTACTGAAGCTAACTTCTGTCATTGTTTCTATAGACTTCCGTTATAATCGTAACGTTTCGCCGTCATGCCGGAGTGTTTTGTACCAGACTGCACACACACGAGCAGCGGATCTCGCTCGTTGTTTCGCTTCCCGGGAGATGTAGTTCATTGAGCGATTTTCACATAAAACTAAATGTTACTCTTCTGTTTCATGACAAACTGCGATTTTCTTGACTTTCATAATTATCTTTTAAATTGACAAGCATCATATGTGTAATTCAGGGCACAGTTCAGACGGAATAAAAAGAGAAGTTGTCTCTCGCCATTGACTACCATACATATTTTTTCCGAAATAAGGTCCCATGAGCCGGAAGCGGAGGGGAGGGGCTTAGGCTCTCTATTGGGCTGTGATTATGGGGCGTTTCAACCCAACCAGGAAAGAAAATGCGTCTGCACTCGATTGGATCGGCAAATGCCTTGATGGCGGTTCTCTGTTCCTCTTTTAAAATGAATGCGCTGTCTACATCTCCTATAACAGACGCGACGCTGTTCTACACATCTCAGTTCTCCAGCGGCGGCCATCTTTGTTGTAAACGAACTCAACCCAAGCGCTCTTCGGTGACGTGATGATTACGTTACGGTTGATCATCTGTCCATCATCGTATAAAGCCCGCCCTGGTGATTTGATTGGTCCGAACAGCTCTGTTTCGGGCATACTTGCTTCTCAGCGGATCGAGTCCAGACCGAACTTCCCATCCTCAAATGTTGTGGGCGGAGCTAAGTTCGGCTGGGATCCAGGCTATAAAAACCCATTTTAGACCAACAGAATTCCCCCAAATCTTATTCCAACTAGTCAAACACAGTAGTCAAATAATTTTAAAGTAAACAATATTGCTGAAATGTTAACAGTTTCCCAGCATGCATTGTTCGGCTGGCATCCATCCCTCGAGTTGGGCGATTTTCATTACTCAACGCCAGACACTTAACCTTTCAGATTTGGGTCTGGATTTGCAGGCTAAACATTTTCCAAATCACCATTATAATGTTTTATTTTATCTTCAACAATATATCTATTGTTTTATCTTTTAAAACCTACTGTTTGTTTAATGTTTTGCCTGAAAAGTTTGGCTGTTTTTTATATCTTTTGAATAAAAGGCACTCAGATTTAATTATTCAGGTAACACTTTGGAATAATGTTGTATATGTTAACATTAGTTATATGTATTTGTTACCATAACTTATACTAATACATCACATTTTACATTTGAACATTAGTTAATGCATCATGAATTAACAATTAGGAATAGCATATTTATTAATTTAAATTAACCTAGATTAATAAATGCTTTAAAGTAGTGGTCATTGTTATTAAATGTTAAATATGTTATTAAAAAGCAATTGCATGTTCTAATGTTAAAGAGGAACTATAATGCTTTTATACATGTTCTGTTGCTGTTTAGGCATGAAAAAGCTCTGCAAACTCACAAAGTTCTTCTCTATATGAGTATCAGTGTTTCTGAACTCCAGAAACGCCTCTACTGTAGTCTTGAGTTTCTTCCGGGAACGAACACGTCACAATATTCCTCATTTACATAATTCATACGCAGAATAAAGGGGCAGGGCCTGCTTGAGTTAGTTAGTAGTGTGTTAAACTGGCGGTTATGGAAAGGGGCGGGACATTTCCCAAACACACTCGAAGCGCTCGACCAATCACAACACACTGATCCAGCCGACCAATCAGAGCACAGTGAGCTTTTCAGAAGGAGGGGCTTCATAGAGACAGGAACTAAACAGAGCGTTACTAACGTAAAATAAACAGGGCATAATATGGTCTCTTTAACATATATAATACTTAAGTTAACATATACAACACTGAGTTACTCCCTGAATTATGTTACTTAGTTACTTTCTATGGAAACTTTTGCATTACGCTGATTGATTGATTTTTTATTAAAAGTTTTTTCGCTTGTTTTTTATCACAAGTTCTATTCTATATTTTCAACTGTAAAGTCCGTTTCACAACAGAAACATTGTGAGAAAGCAAAACTACTACTACAAAGATCTCACATGCTCACACTCTAGAACTACAACACCCATATCCTGCTCACACACACACACACACACACCTCCTCCCATACTCAACACTGGGACAGAAGAAGCGTCAAACAATAAATGCAATTTTTTTTTACATGCACTACTTGTTTGAAAAAGTAACCCAGATATATATATTATTTGTAAATTTGAAAAGAATTGCATTATTTAGCCATTACTTGCAAAAGCAATCTGTTTAAGTAAAACCACTGTAGAGGATGAACTCTGACCTCTCTCTCATCCTGGTGGAGCCACTGTTTGGGGTCATCTTCTGTGGCCAGAAACGCGATGAGGTCCAGCGCCGTGAGCCGCGTCTGCCGGCGTGAGGACACAAATATGAGGACCGGTTTGGCTGGAGAATGTGTGCGAATGGCTGCAGGAAAGCGGAAAAAGAGAGAGAGTCAAAATATAAATGTATCAATCAAAATGCATGAAAAGCAACAAAAAAAATTATAATACATAATACAAAAGCAATAAAAATGCAAGATGATAAAAAAAAAAAGTACAATTTTGGTTAAAGTACAAAAGATTAATTTGTAATTTGTCTCGAGTTGCTTTTAGGCAATTTCACCTGGTGACCTTCCATTTTAGGGGTGTAACGGCACACAACAATGACAAAAATGGTTTTGAAGTATGTTTTGGAACAACAGGGTGAAAAAAACCCCCCTATTTTTTTTCTTTTTATTAAACAATGGTTTGCTAAAGAAAAGAAATGACGTTAGTCTTTAAATAATAAAAACGTCTGTCAATATTGTAGCAATCAGCTGCAACACACACTGCAGTTTATGGAGCTGTTGTAGTTGGAGGAAGAGATTTGAAGTGCTCACACATTTGGATGCAAAATATGTTTTATATATACGATTATATTATATATTTTTAATATATATAGCTTCATCCCATTCTAATCCGCTCCGTCTATTTGACGCCAATGCGTGCCGGCACTCGTTCATCGCAGTCTGCAAAGTTGAATATAAATTCGCTCGCTGTCAGTAAAATCCTTATGCGAAATGGAAATACTTGCATGAATTAGTCAAATTTACAGGTGAGTATAACCGATACGATATAAGTTGTGCTCTGAGGGAACCCGCATCTCAAACGCATTAAACAACACGCGTATAGGTTTACGATTCAGTTTGAAGCGCTTCATTTATAAAGCACGTCTCATGTTTCAGACTTGAATCAATTTGACTATATAGTATATCAGTATAAACGATATTTTCCAATCCTAGAGGGGAAACTCATGACTGTACTATTACAAATTCTGCACACAGAGTGTTAATTAAAACAACACTGTATTCGTCCGGTGCACATAGTGCTGTGAGCTTTATGCCGAACGCCACATGAACAAGCAGGAAAACAGGTCTCAATGCATCCGCTTGTCAGAGAAAGTGCTATGACAGTACGAACTGATGACGATATCTATGGACTTTTAAGGTAATCGGCTAACCTATCTATTTCTTTTAATTGTTGGTGTTTTATTCCGTTTAAATATAAAAATGTTAGTGATAAAAAAAGCAATCTGCATATGCTATGGACATCGGTGATGCTATTATCTTTGCTCGCTCCTTTTAAGGTATCTTGAGTGAAACGGCTTTATATTTGACGAAGCGCATATGAAAGACCTGAACAGGAAGCGACGCGACCGGTTTTACACAATACGGACGTTTATAGCGCATAACCTTCATTACAGAACTAAAATCTCCCAAACTGTTTGCCAGGATTGTTTTTCAATAGCATATTTCAAATCAGCAATACAATTTAACACCAATAAAAAAAAAAAAAATGTAAGCACAAAACTTGAATTCTCAGAAGTAGAAGTCAACATAGTTTGGTAAAACTCCTTAACAAATATAATTTTTGTGCTCCTTTTTTTGTGAATTTCCAAATATATTGTAGCACAAATGAGATTTGAGGACTTTAGATACAATTTCGGTCACACAAATGTATCGTTTTGATAGAACTAGTGCTGTCAAACGATTAAAATATTTAATCGCGATTAATCGCATTAATGTCGTAGTTAACTCGCGATTAATCGCATTAATGTCATAGTTAACTCGCGATTAATCGCATTAATGTCATAGTTAACTCGCGATTAATCGCGTTAATGTCATAGTTAACTCGCGATTAATCGCATTAATGTCATAGTTAACTCACGATTAATCGCATTAATGTCATAGTTAACTCGCGATTAATCGCATTAATGTCATAGTTAACTCGCGATTAATCGCATTAATGTCATAGTTAACTCGCGATTAATCGCATTAATGTCATAGTTAACTCACGATTAATCGCATTAATGTCATAGTTAACTCACGATTAATCGCATTAATGTCATAGTTAACTCACGATTAATCGCATTAATGTCATAGTTAACTCACGATTAATCGCATTAATGTCATAGTTAACTCACGATTAATCGCATTAATGTCATAGTTAACTCACGATTAATCGCACATTTTTATCTATTCTAAATGTCTCTTGATTTCTTTTTGTCCCATTATTTTTTTCTCATTTTAATGCTCTTATCAACATGGAAAAGTGAATCGGCTTGCTTTGTGCAAATGTTTTTTATTGAAAACAACATTGACATAGACTGTGTTCAATTTCACACTAACATTCTCACTTGAAGCAAATAATCTCTCACACAATGTAACACTGTCCATCAATAAAAGGGTGAAAGAAATACTGACGAGCGGGCGGAGAATTCGCATCAGCTGTGTGTGTGTGTGTGTGTGTGTGTGTGTGTGCTTGGCCATCATCGAGTGGTGTTTCAGACTGGACGCGCTGTGATGATGATAGCTCAGTTCACAACGACAAAACACACAGATCACTTTGGTCTAGTCAATGGAACCATTTGGCAACTTTTTAAAAGTAAACTTTCCATTCAGAATCTTATTGGCATCCATTTCGGCGTCTCGCGCTCGTCATCCACTCAAAACGTAACGTTAACCTACTATTTGGCCGGCTCGCAAACCCAAACAAGTGTGTGCGGCGTGCCTGTTGTTTTGTTTCCGGTCTAGCTAGATCCGCTTACGCTTTGGTCGACGAAGCAACAAAACGTCCTCGCGCGGCGCAAGCCATTGAAATGAACGGGTTTCATAGCGCAGCGCCGCGTCCTGTCGCAAAAGCATGTGAAAAAAACTACCAAGTTTGCTAGGCCAAAAAGACCGTTAATCGCGCAATAAAAAACTTGACGCCGGCAAAATGGGTTTGCGTTAGCGCCGTTGATAACGCGTTTAACTGACAGCCCTATTTAGAACACTTGTTGAGTAAATTATTACACAATTAAATGTTTCTGCATGAACTTTTCCCTTTAATGTGTGTGTAATGTTACTGTAGTATTGTACCCTGGAAGACTGGTTTGTTCATGCTGGCCATACGAGGGCAATAATGTTGCCCAGGAAAACCCTGGATGTGAACCTCCAACGGCACTGGGCGAACAGAGGGCCGGAAATTAAACAGTCCCACCTGAAACACAGACAGACAGACAGATGAATAAGCACAGCGCCACAAAACATTGCAAGAAAAACAGGGCCAGAAAGTGAGAAGACACAGAAAGACAGTAATAAAGAGAGAGATGGAGTGCCCAGCTGGCTGTGTGCCTGACAGAGTGGCCCATCTGGGGGTAATTACAGCCCGTCATTGTCCCCTGTCCCACAACCACGCTCTCACACAAGTGGCCCGGGCCTGGGTGCGTGTGTGCACATATTTAAAGGCCTGGATAATGGATCGGGCAGCTAGAGAGACGCCTCAGTCCAAACAGCACACGTCAGATTTATGGAGACCCCCAGCCCTTCCTTCCCCGTCTGTCTCGCAGGGTGACATTTCAGCAATAGTAAAACAACGTTTACATAACCACTGCTGTCTGCCCTGATGCTGCTGCATGCTGGGAGACGGGTGCTGGTTATTTATAGATGTGTGCGAACACATACACATATAAACGCAGAATGACTGAAAGGACGGCTATCTGTAATGGAAACAGGATGAAAATGATGGTGCAGTGTTACAGATAATATCTTTTGACTTCATCCCGTATCATTATGGGGGAAAGTGAAGCATGATTACACTGAAACAAGACCCATTAATTACATCCAACTCAACAAAACCCCAAAAAACAACTCAATACAGGATTTGGATGCCAAGATTTCTTGCTTGATCTGAATTGCCGTGAATCATATGCAAATCATATCAAATCCGAGAAGAGCAAGGAGAGCACTGATCCCGAAATTGTTTTAATTTGCCTGTATATAAAGTCTATGGATGGCCTCCAAAAGCGATTTCGATTTCGCAAGTCTTGCATCAAATGTAATAGATAGAGATGTGACGTTGGAAGGGTGTGTATGAGAAAGTTGAGAGGGTTGTGTGTTTGTAACCTGTCCGATGCCCAGCCAGTCGGCTAGATCCCGAGCATTAGCCAGCGCTGTAGAGAGTCCCACCACACGGACTGACTTTGAGGTGTGCGATGAGATAAAGTTGGTTCTGGACACGATGACCTCTAGAACCGGCCCTCTGTCCTCACCTGTGAAGGCAAACGAAACGCAACAACTGTAACAATACCATTTTTATACGCTATTATTAGAAACTATTTACTGGCTTTTTTGAAAAGGTCCTGCTCACACATGGATCATGATCTCTCAAATGTAATTCACAAGTTAAAGCTCTGGTGAAAATCCAGCTTTTAATGTAGTTTATGTGTGTATGTGGTGTTTTTAATATGCTTTAAGACACACCATGTGTAAGTTCATAAGTCGACAGCATTGCTGAGTATTTCCTCCTTAAAACTGCAGTGAACCAAAGACAGTCTCAAAAACACGGTTTGAAATCGCTGGTGTTTCTGACGTCACAAACGACCTTGTAACCAATCAGATCAACGTGTGATCGTCAACCAGTGGATCTCTGAGCGGAGTGAGTGAGTGGAGGCGGGGCTCATCTGCATATTCATAGAACCACGTATATTAAATGAGGCGAGGGTGTCGAGTTACATTCCAGCTATTGTAAGACATGAAGATTTTTTTTTTCAAGAAAAAACTTTAAATATGTCATTTTGGTGATAAAAGATGAGTTTTAAGGGACACAATTATTGACTAGAGGGGGACTTTAAGACTTTATGTGTGAAAGGTGCTAATGTTTATATGTGAATAAAAGGCTGTTCGTGAGTCTCTTCAGAAGACTTGGATTAAACCACTCGATTCATATGGTATACAGTCCTGTACCGCCATTTTGAACTAATTTGAAGTTTTGGTTGTGTGGCAAATAGACAGGCAATTTAGTTTAAAGTTACATGATTTAAAATAATATGTATGCATTTTTTTTGTGTGTGTGTGATGGCATTTCAGTTTTTGTTTGAAACTGCAGAAACAAACATTTCACTTGTAGAGTTATAATCAACTACTACAGTTGCTGGCATTGTGAGCCTAGTTTTACGTGAGCCTGTATATAAACATTAATGCAGGTCTGGATAAAATACTAAAACTAACGCAGGCCTGTTGAGAACAGAACTCCTTTTATGTCCTGAATTGTGTGTACCAAAATAATTCATCCTTCAAGAATAAGTGTCTTGAAGGAGGCTCTTTAATCAGTCTATTAAATCAAGAACCCCCCATATACATGTGTGTGAATACATGCAGATACTCGTGTATAGGGGTATTATCATCTTATCCAACTACACACGGCTCAGGACTGAAGCTGTCCAATTCATTTATGTCAAGGTCCTTGACTTTCACACATGGCTAGAAGCTTTACTACATAGGCAAACATATGTAGACACCTGAACAGCATATGTGCTTGTTGAAGATTTAATTTCAAAACCATGGCCATTAACAGTGGTTTGTTCGCCGTTTAATGCAGAATATTAGTTCACACTCCTCTGGGAAAGCTTTCCACTAGATGTTGGAACATGGATGCTGGGATTTGCTAACATTCAGACACAAGAGCATCAGTGATGGGATGTTTGAGTCGGGGGAAGTGTCACGTTTGCAAAACATGCTGTATTTTTGTAATTCTTCTATTTGCCACTAGTGTCGTAGAAACGTCAAGGCGACTTAAAGAAAACCGAAGAATGAACTAGTGTGGCGTCATTTCGAACAAAATCAGCTTGCCAAAGCGAACTTTCCAAAAAAGCACATCTTCGATCTATTCATCATCTACCATCGCTCTGTGGCGATGATGATGTAATAGGTGGGTGTGGCTTCTGAGGCTCCGCCTACTTTGTCATGAAAATCTTCTCCGGTTCATGTCTTCTGTTCAGTCTTTCGAGGTCAGACGCTAGTAAACACATGAACACACTGGAGTGTTCCTTTAAAACATAAACTGAACCAGTACTTCTAATTGAAAGCGACACTGGCATGTTTTTTTAATGTTTAATACTGTAAAGCTGCATTGTGTAATATTTAGGAGGTTCTGTTGACAGAAATGCAATATCATATACATAACTATATTTTCAGTGGTGTAGAAAGACCTTTCATAATGAACCGTTATGTTTTTATTAGCTTAGAATGAGCCATTTCTATCTACACACACCGCGGGTCCGCTTACATCCACATGTTTCTACGGTGGTCCTGAGCGGACAAATGTGTTTCGTCACTATGTTGTTCTTCGTGCAAACTAGCTTGCTAAAGTCAGCGAATAAAGCACTGACACAATGATGAACAAGTCACAATAATATTCGCAATAACATATCGTTTTACTGAATAATCAAGTAAACCTAATTTCTTCATATATCTTTGTAAAGAAACCTCATTGCTTAACTGGCTCCTCTCTGCTGTCTCAGACGACGACATCACTTCCTGTCGGCCACCGTAACTTCTGTTGGGTGCAATTCACAACCTCACCACTAGATGCCTCTAAAGTTACACAGTGCACCTTTAAATAAAGCAACTCTATAAAATGCTATATAAATGAATGTGACATATCTTGACTGCTGAATTGCAGAGCTGGTGCAAACATCACATGACTGTGATCAGATGCTTTCTGAACTGCTGTTTTCTCACCGCTGTCATTTTTGTTGTGTGTTTATTGTTTTATTGAGGGGAAAGCGTGCAGCATGGCGTCTGTGTTTAGGACGAACAGAAATATTCTCTAGGACGGAAGATATTTTTGTATGTGTGTTCAAGCCTATTGGGCTAATAACTTACTTAGAAAATACCAAAATTAACTGACCAAACGCTGACTACAACGGCGTGCGTCTTCTCATGCAGTTACTATAGTTGCTATCACTGGCCGGCTACTCACCCGGAGACTTGTTCCGCGGTACATCTATCAAATGGCTTAATGACATCGCAAATATGTTGCGCTGGTTAAACAACGGTAAGGTAAAACAGATTGAGCACCAAGCATCTCCTCCATTGAACCCGAGTAGGGGTTTGATGCGAGTACAATTTAAATTGATTATTTTATGTTTATTAGTCATTGGATTGAAACAGTCTGCTAACTTACTAACTTTAGCTAGCTAACGGGCGCTACCCCGGCTATGTGTGTGTATATTAGCAATAGCATACATTTAGATTTCAATATATTTGAGGTCTTTTTTCTTGATGTCAGGCATATCTATAAACTAATTTTCTCCCTAAGCGAAGAAGGAAAAAGACGAGGGCGTTTACCCAGGAGATGGATCTCGTCTATGATGAGAATGGCCACTTTCTGCACATAGCTGCGGTTCTGCCAGCTCCGGCTCACTCCGTCCCATTTCTCTGGAGTCGTGACGATCAGGTCCGCCTGCGCTATGGCCCGCATGTCAGGAGTAACGTCACCTGTTAACTCAACCACCCTGGAGACACCGAGGATGATAATGAGCAAATAAAGGTCAGGGTATAATAACAGATACATATTTGCCAGAAGAATCTATAAGCACTCTCACTTCCTCCCAAGTTTCTCTTCGATTCTGATCTTCCAGTCCTCAATCCTCTCTCGGACCAGAGCTTTGAGAGGAGCGATGTAGACCACCTGTTCACACGGATACATGCCCGTTACACCGTGTCATAGGAACTATGGGAATCGAAAATCATTTCCAATTCTGGAATCGAATACTTGAGGTCAGGAATCGGATCTTTGTTTTATAAAATTTAAATTTCGATTCCTCTTATCGATTCTTTTGTGAGCTTTTCAATATGACTTTAAACAATTCAAGCGCGAGACGACTCGCTCGCTGTTTTATGTGGTGCACACACACATCCTAAACATGCAGAAAATGTGATTTTAAACCATTCAAGCGGTTGTTTTCAGGCGTGTGCATCAGTATTTTGGATCTGTGCAACTCTTAAAGTGACGGCAGCCTAATATTCCTGCTGCCGTCTCCATAATAACACTAATCTAACAACAAAAGACAAAGAGAAAATTCCCTCGCCCTTGACTTAACTTTTGTAACTATATTTATAAAGTAAATTCTATTTATAAAGTGCAGTGTTATTTTACATTTAATTACCGTTTCTGTACCTGAAAATCTTAAAACACTGTTTATTTCAATCGTATCTTTGTTCAGTTGTCTCTATTTGTTGCTATTGCTATTTTTTATTGTGTCTTTAATAATGCGTTGATATAAGTTCGGCTAGTTGTTTTTCTATGGTATTTTTAAATCATAGGCAGAAGTTCCTTGTGTAAGTGTTCTTTAGCCTGTTGATTTTAGTTCATGATATTCAGCTTAAAGGGGTCATATAATGCCATTTTTGTACAAGCTAATATGATTCTTTAGGGTCTAAATTAAAAGTTTGTAATATACTTTATTTAAAAATTCTCATTAGTATTGTAAGAAAACACTTATTTTACCTGGTCAAAAACAGCTCTGTTTTCAGCACACCGTTTCAGTGCATATGACTTTAAATGATAATGAGCTTCGCTCACTCCGCCTCTCTGTTCTGAGTGTACACCGTTTGTAACACAATAACACAATAACCATAACGCGTTGTTCAGTATAAACGTGGAATTATGAATTATATTGAGAACGTCATACATAGAAAACATGCCGTAATGTACCCTGACTGAGTGTAAACCTTAAACGCATTCATTGTGAAGCGTGCAGCTAGCGATTTGCAAAGATTAATATAAATATTAATATAAAGTTTAATAAAACGTTACACTCACTTCCGTTCTTCTGGAGGTTCAGCAGGAACACGAATATCTGGTACCGATCCTTTATTCATGAGCAGCTTCTTAGCAAATCCAGCTTTATACTGACCCTCGTTTATAAAGCAGTCTGGTGTGTGAAATGATTCGCGCAAACATGAGAGCATTGACGTTGCTCGTGGGGAATATTCCCTTCGAAAACAAACTCAGCCACTGCGTCTTCAGCGGTTCGGATTTAGGAACATTAAAATGACTGTGTTCGTTATTACACCCAAGAACAGAACGCCACAATCGCTTAGACGCCATTCTGCTCATAGACAGTGCTCCAGCATATCAACAATGACCGCGCCGGTCCGCGCAGACTATGATTAACAATCGCGGGAGGGGCTTCCGAGCGTGTGACGTCACAGGCTCGAACGGCTCGATTTGAGGCAGGGGAAAACATATAAGGAGATTAAAACAAAAACACTGGATGGATTTTTATCATTATATGATGGTTGTGTACAGGCACTGCCAACACACATTTCAGTACAATCAACTTGTAAAAGTGCATGTACCATTATATGACCCCTTTAAATTAAAATGGTTTGCAATAAGACTAAGGTTGATAAACATGTTGATTACAGTTTCTGTACCTGGAAATCTTAAAACACTTTTTATGTCAATCGCATCTTTGTTCAGTTGTCTCTATTTGTTGCCATTGCTATTTTTGTATTTGTTCTTTTTTAATTGCTTAAAATTCAACGCTCCCCAACGCTACACCAGACACACAGCAGAGGTCACGACCTTGGAGGTGGGGTACATGTTGAAGACCCTGAAGATGGCCATCTCTGCAGCGATGGTCTTCCCGGAGCCGGTGGGCGCTCCCAGCAGGACATTAGTGTCCGTGTGGTACAGCGTGTGGAAGATCTGCGTCTGAATGGGATTAAAGTGCGTGAACTTGTATAGACTCTCGTACTCCCTGTTTCCCAGTGCAGTCACAGGCAACGGCTGGAGATCCAAGAGCTCTGGGATTAAACAAAACAAATTATAACTTGCAAATCTGACCGTTTATCTCATAATTGTCAAACTGCAAAGGAAAACAAAGCCAGAATTGTGAGTCAAGATTACCTCTTTTATTTTTTATTCCATGGAAGAAATTGAAATGTGAGGTTTATCATTTTATAAAACGCTTTTGTCAGCAACCTTATTTAAACATTTAGTACGTGAGTGCATATTAGTAGATATTACAGTACATTTTATGTTGTAAGTCACCCAACCAACATTTTAATTTAAAATCATGCCATAATTATCATGAGTAATAATTATTATTAATTTATACACTTATTATTAGTGTACTATATAGGTTCATCCAAACAAAAGTGTGTAATTTCATTTATTTACGTGTGTGTATCAGTACTTTTAAAATATTGATAACCGTGATTATTTTTGTCATTATAATCGTGATATGATATTTTCATTCCGTTTCATCTCTACTCATTGACTACACTTTGCTCATTATTATGATCTTTGGCCTGTATGGTGATTAAAAGTCAATATTTTGGACTGCCGACCCGAGCCCGACGGGTCCCGAAGAGCTTGTGGGTTTCGGGTTCGGGTTAATATTTCATAATTATGTTTAGGTTAGGGTTTGTAACTAAGAAAAACTATATATATATATATTTGATGATATATGAAGAGTTTGGTTCCAAAACGCGATAAACGCCATTTAAAAAAAAATTTAGTTACTGCAAAAATCAGTATTATATCTGGTTGGTATTGAAAAGTCAATGTTTAATTTGAAGTAAAATGCGATATCCGCCGTGTTATTCTGTCATGTTTTCTCCCTTTCTTTCCAAACCGCGACAAACGGCAGTCTCCCTTCTCTGCAGAATGCGATATATCCACTCTCAACCAATCACAACGCACCATTCCACTCTCAACCAATCACAATGCACCATTCCACGCAATGTAAACAGTAACGGCAGCGCCTTAAACACACCCGGCTTCCTAGTTTTTCTTATCTATTTTGTACTTTTCGATCAACAAACAAACAAAAAAATGAATAATTTTGACGGCATTGATGAACCTGTGGTTGTTTCTGCGGTGGGTGAGAAACGTAAGGCATCGAAATCGAATCATTTACGGGAGGAGATGAAGAAGATGAGGCACTCGGGAGGAGGAAAAATGTTTTCAATCTTCTTTACAGTTCTTAATAAAAATATTATACTAATAAACTTACGTTGTTGTGTATTTTCAACAGTTTCAATATAAAAAAAAAAAACTTTTATATTGATTCAATGGATTAATCGCATTTTGATTTTTTTTTTTTTAATGGATTTATTGCATTTTGGGGGGAAAAATAATCCGTTTTTATAATAAATCTTTGAAAATCAAAACCTGGATTTAAATTTTTTTTGTTATTATGACCTACAAATGCTATGTGAAAGTTTGAAACAGAAAATAGTGGTTTTCATCTTTCCACTTTCCTGGTAAAGAAAACACATTTTTACTCAAATTAATCTAAATGGATTTATTGCGTTTTGGAACCAAACTCTTCATATGTAGATAAGGTTTGCATTGCATGCCGTCTGCTGTCCTGTGGCCGAAAGAGTGCAAGAGAGTGGAAGCATGTTCACATATATAATTCATATATTAACAGAACTGTTTTGCGGTTGTGTTCCTGCTCATGTGCTCTTTCGAGTACGATAAGGTAAAACAATGACTGAGGGAAACCGTATTTCAGTGCCGAATGATGCAGGGAAAACTGCACTGCAATGAATTACACAGAATAATAGGTCAAATATTCCGCGTGTTTTCTGGATAATAGGTGAGCCAGGGGACATACACCTCTAAAATGACTAAATAATGTGTGTGTGAAGAGAATGAGTGTAAACTGAGCAAGGCACAAGTCAAACAGCTGCGCTGCCGTGTCTCAGAAATCAGAGCAATATCAATAAAATTCTGCATCATTAACATTTTCTACTATTTGATATGTATATTTAAATGTTTTAAACCTCGAGAGGCGATATGATACACGAGTGAAAACTCAAAACGTGAATCAATAGCCGCATTTCTCTTGCGTCTTTCAGAAATCAGCTTTGTCCAAAGTAGGCTGCTATCCAATAACACATTACATCATACACATTTTCTACATCTTGATGTGTTTATTTAAAACGTTATAATAATAATAATAATAATGCATTTTATTTAAAAGCGCCTTTCTGGACACTCAAGGTCGCTGTACAAAGTAAAAACACCAGAATATGTAAAATTAATCAAGAGACTAAAATAACACACTCCTGACTGCATGATAAATTATTATACGATATTATCCAATAAAGAGCTCAGCGGGTGCGTGCGGTGTAGGTCTCACAAAGCTGTGTTGGCTTATGGTAGCAAGAGTACAGGGACATCTTCACAGCGCCGGATTTGGGGTTTTGATTAGTACCGGTCGGGTTCGGGCCCTGCAGACCTCTCGTCCCGGGTCGCACTGCTTCTCGTGTGGCTGGCTCGTCAGCGCTGAATCCTGGCTGGATGTCTCGACGACAATTCATCGTGCAGTCAGGAGTGAAACACTGTATACATCGCACAATCATTTTAAAGCAACACTAATGAACTTTTCCTCTTCGGTCGCCCTACAGGTTGGAAGCGGAACTGTCCATTACCGCTGTCGTAAATCATTTAATATTATAATTTAATTTAAAGGGGTGGTTCAGGATTTTGGACATCGGGCCTCATTTCCAAGTTAGCCTTAGTGTTACTTAGACAGTTTTCAAAAATGTTCATCCAGTCGTTCCAGTTGCATAGTTCGCCGGTGCTAGGCTAGCGCGAGTCAACGGTAACGGCTAGCCTGCCATTAAAAACAGTTTTACCCACTCCACAGAACACCAACAGCAAATACATTATAACGCCAGACTATAAGACTACGCCATGACATTGCTGACAGCTTGTCTCAGTTGTGTGTGTGTGTGTGTGTGTGACGCACCTGTGTGTGGCGGGTGTCTCTCAGGCAGAATGAGGTGCTGGAAGTTGATGATACACACCGCTTCAGAGCCCAGCCAGCGGTCAGACACGGCTCGGATGTAATACTGGGAAGGCATAGGCTCAAAGATGGGAATGGTGAAGACGACCTGCTGAGGCTCTCCACTCAACACCTGACAGAGAACATGTGGTTATCTTCAGCTCACCCTGACACACTGTCCACTACACACAATCACACTTGCATCTGAAATTGAGGATTTTTTGTGCAGATAGTGTGTTATAATAGCATTATCCAGTTAAATGTGAATGCGTGAAACTTCCAACTCATTAGCAACTATGGGTAAATAACTAGAAGAATAACAGTGAAACTATTTGCGCTACAAACCAGCGTGTTTGTACTACTTACATTATTAATTATTATTATTATACAGCTAAAAGTAACTGGAGGCGGATGATACCGGATACATTTTAGTAATTCTGTGATGTGCTTTTGTCATTTTTATTAGTATTTTTTTTAAATATCTCTATTTACTGTAGCTCTAATTCATTTTTAGCCATTTTAGTACTTAAACTCATTTCATTTCAGTTAGTTGCCAAAGCAACTTATTTAAATTTTATTTAATATTCATATATTTTGTTATTTGACCTTAACTTCAATTAATTAACCATTTTTAATAGTTTTAGTTAACAATAATAACAACCGCATATCGTCACTGTCGGGCAGAAACCTCGTTTCTCCATAAATCATTACTATTGGTCACCCTTTACGTCTGCACATATTTAACCAATGAAAAGATTTAAAAGAGCTTGTGACTGAACCTCGTGTCTCCATTGGCTCCTCAAGCTGTCAGTCAAACCTCATAACTCCACCCACCTCTATCATGAACACAGTTTGGATAGTCTCTGCTTGTTTGCGAGGATAAATAAAGAATTGAGTTTTTGAATACGTACAGCGTTTTCTTTACTCAAGAAACATTATACGGCTAATATTTTATGTATTTGATGGGCAGAAAGTGTCATCAAGTCATAGCCGATACTGTTTTAAATAGCCTGTTCAACTTCAGCTTTTATACCATGAGATTTTGGCCAAATGAGTGGAAACACTGAGCAGCCACACATAACTACAGTGAACTATAACCCGTAAGCTGATGAAAACGTAATGTGATGCACTTACTGCCTCAGATGATGTTCTAATCATGGACAAAACATGTACAGTAGTTTGACATTCCCTGGGCAAAAACCTTCATTTATGCTTGATTTTGGTCAAATGTTAATAATACTGTATCATGACACATGCAAGTGTCTAAAGCCACAATATCAACTTGGACAACACAGTGTTCAATTATTTAAAAACACTGTTTTTCCATTGACAGGGTTCGTACAGATACTGTTTTCCAGCACTATTTTTTTTATAGCCAGAGATCTCACTTACCAAACATATCTTTATTATATTTTAACTAGATAAATAAAAATAAACTAATAAAACAAAATGGTACAAATAAAGTGCAGCGCATGCAATGACTGCGGTAACTTTAACCATTAAAAGGACATTATGATAAAGACATCGCTTTCCTAATTCAAACTGATTTTTTCCCTCATGAATATATGATTGACCTGAAGAATTAAAGTAGTAAATATACTTGGATATGAGGAATATTACACTCATAACCATGTGAAATGGCTCTATATCAGATGGGCTGCAGCATTAATTATTCATGAAAAGATTGTTTAATCAATCAAATTAAAAACTAACTTCACATTTATTGTCTTTCAATAATTCAAGCACTTTCAAGTACCTTTTCATAAATATGGCTGTTTTCAAAGGTTTTCCAGGACTTACATTTTAAAAAGTCAAATTCAAGTAATTCAAGCACTTTAAAGCTGCAGTCTGCCGTTTCTCCTCTCTGTCGCCATCTCTGTTCGAAATCTGCAATTGCAGTCATTCGCGGAATTATCAGCTTTACGTGAGTTGTGCCTCGGCGCGGCACAGCGCGGATGAACACAGTGTTTGAGGAGAGTGTGTGTGTCAGTCGCCGCTGGTGTGGATACTGGCGTTCAGAATCACAGATTATACTTTTTGGAAGTATGACCAACATAATCATATTCACTGGAAAATGTCATCTGAACAAGCAACATCCACCTTTGTTCTGGTTCTGACATTGCAGTAAATCGCGCTGATTAAATCTAACGATCGCTCTTCATATCACGCAAAACCGTGCAAATTATACTTTGTTCTCAAATTTGTTAATGTTCAACGTCAGCAGTGCGTGACTACATGTAATGCCCTTCCGATATTATCCTGGTTTCCGCATGGGCCGTTCCAGTCTCTTCTTCTGTCGCCGCTCCGAAGTCCGAACGAAGTCTTCTGCATGTTACAGCGGGCGAGTCTGCTGTCGCTGGTGATCGTCGTTTGAACCTTTCTGGATCCGCCATCAAATTAATAAGTTTAATTATGTCAAGTGCTGTGAGAAAAGGCTATAAATCTCCTCCAGCATCCTCACACTCACAGCCGACTAGCCGAGACTCTTCTTTATGTGGACAGGTGTGTGTGTGCAGATGTGTGTGTGCAGATGTGTGTGTCCAGATGTGTATGTGTACAGATGTGTGTGTGCAGATGTGACGTAATGACGCAAACACATGCTCGAATCTCCCGCTGAAATCCACCAGCACCACTGGAGTCAAAAACATTATTACAAGCTTACCGCTGTGAATCGAGCTACGGCAAGCAGAGAGTTTTGAACACTGGCTGGTTATGTACCTGCTCAAAAATTAATTTTGGATAATTTTTAACCCAAAAAAGTTACGGACTGCAGCTTTAAGCACCTTGTACGAACCCTGATTGAAGAGTAGTGTTTTTGGAGATGCGACGTTACATTACGTTTAAAGGTGAGGCGTGTAATTGAGCGCTCCTGCCCCTGGTCACGCTGTGATCCGCAGGTGTACCTGTTTCTTCTGCAGGAGGAAGTACTCGGAGTGGTAGATGTGGTCGTTGATGGGATCCTCCACCCACAGCCACCAGGGCTCTCCCACCGACCCGTGGACCTGTTCAACACCGGATCAGAAGAGCCATGAGAGCCAGAACAACATCATCTGTGACGATCATGAAAGTGGACACTACTGTTTCCATGGAAACCACATGGCCAAACAACACATGACTTATAAATACATCAAATACCTATTACATGAAAAAAAAAAAAAAAAAAAAACTTCCATAAAAAACCTATTTGTCTTTTTTTCAAGTGGCTATTAATTCCAAACAAATCACACTAACTAAATTTGATTTAATTTGTTTTGAGAGGTCTGATACAGTCCAAAATTAAAATGGTAACACTTTACAATAAGGTTCATTAGTTTACATTAGTAAATGTATTAACTAACATGAACTAACAATGAGCAAAACATGTGTTACTATATGGGTATTTTACACTTAAAGCCCTGTTTTAAGATCGTTTCTGATGAAATAGAACGGTTAAGATTGACATTTGGACACATGCTGCTGTCCCGAGAAATTTCGGTTTCTGTGAGAACGGTTTCTTCAATCTTAACCGTTCTATTTCATCAGAAACGATCTTAAAACAGGGCTTTAAGTGTAAAATACCCAACTTGTCCTTTAACAAATACAACCTTTGATTTAAATAACGTATTAGTAAATGTTGAAATTAATATGAATGCTGTAGAAGTATTGTTCATTCTTAGTTCATGTTAAGTAAGGTAGTTAAAGTCCCTGTAAAGGCAATTCTAAACCCATTATAAATGTTAGAAATGTATTGCTAAAACATATTACACAGACTGTGAACTGTGAAGTACTGAATTGTGGAGTTAGACCGTTAAACAGTTTTTCACCATTGCTATTTTCCGGATTTTTTGGGCGGGGCTAAAACGGGGCTCGATGACGCACTGGAGCCCCTGAGCTCGTGGACACGCCCCTACCTGATGACGCACTGAGGCTGGCCCCTCCCCTAACAATAGAGCACATTCACATCAGTTTGGCGCTCAATCGCGAGTCACTGTCAGTACTATTAGTTACTACAGCCTACAGTTTGCTAGCTAGCTATGCCTTCGACACGGAAATGCGTAGGCTACTACCTGGATGCGATCACTTACAAAACAGATCGGTGTCTTTATTTAAATTTCCAAAAAACGATCACATCAAGAAGAGGTGGATTAATTTTGTGAAGAGCCAACCTTGATGGAGAGCTGAGGATCACTGCCAACACCCGCCTCTGTACTGTAGCGATCGTTTTACACATGATAGTTTTATAAACTTTCGTCGGAGACAACTGGGATTCACTGATAATCCGCTGTTACTGGCGAATGGGGCCGAACCGACTATCTCCCGCCTCGGCCTTCATCTCCCCGTCCCGAAAGCAGTATCAGCTAATATCACCGTCGGCAGCTTTCCCGCGAGTGGGCGTGGTTTCAGCGCAGCCAGCGGACACGCCCCCAGAAGACATCCCCCCCAGAAGACACGCCCCCAGAAGACACGCCCCCAGCGTTTGAGAGCAGAGAATACTGCTCATTTTTTCAAGATTTTGATAGCTTATTTTATGTACTTGCCGGGTTTTTTTATCATTCAAATTTGGCTGGGTGACTAATAACACATTTTTCTGTGGTGTGACAAACTCAGAACACATACTTAATTTTGCCTTCACAGGGACTTTAAAGGAGTAGTTCACTTTTAAAAAAACTTTTGCTGATAATTTACTCACCCCCATGTCATCCAAGATGTCCATGTCTTTCTTTCTTCAGTCGAAAAGAAATTAAGGTTTTTGATGAAAACATTCCAGGATTTTTCTCCATATAATGTACTTTGCTGGGCACCAAACGGTTCAAGGTCCAAAAGACAGTTTCAGTGCAAACTGTTCAAAGGGCTTTAAACGACACCAGACGATGAATAAGGGTCTTATCAAGCGAAACGATCGGTCATTTAAAAAATAAATAACAAAGTTTAAGTTTTATAGGCACAAATGCTCGCCTTGCTCTGTTCTGTGTGACTCTCCTGTTCGAACTCGTTCATCAAAATGAACGAATCTTTTTCCGAGTCAGTTCGTTCATTTCGTTCGTTAAATGAATCAAATGACTCGAAAAAAGATTCGTTCATTTTGATGAACGAGTTCGAACAGGAGAGTCACACAGAACAGAGCGAGGCGAGCATTTGTGCCTATAAAACTTAAACTTTGTTATTTATTTTTTAAATGAGCGATCGTTTCTCTAGATAAGACCCTTATTCATCGTCTGGAATCGTTTAAAGCCCTTTGAACAGTTTGCAGTTTGCACTGAAACTGTCTTTTGGACCTTGAACCGTTTGGTGCCCAGCAAAGTGCATTATATGGAGAAAAATCCTGGAATGTTTTCATCAAAAACCTTAATTTCTTTTCGACTGAAGAAAGAAAGACATGGACATCTTGGATGACATGGGGGTGAGTAAATTATCAGCAAAAGTTTTTTTTAAAGTGAACTACTCCTTTAACTAATGAACCTTATTGTAAAGTGTTAGCATAAAAACGTCCCGTCGGGAGCTTGCCATCCGCCTGGACTCCTGCTGATCCGCATCGCTGCTTCATAGACACTGGATCTGCGGGATCAGATGGCTTGTATTTAGTGAAAAGTAAGTTAATCTTTACAGCCTGTTGAGCTGTAGACTGTTTCACGTTAAAGCGAGTGATAAACTGTACGTATCAAACGTCAGGCGGCTCGTATTTTGCATGGAAGCGTCCGGATGAGTTTTTCCGCTTTGCTCACGGTGTGGATAAATCAAGCTTGGGCTGTTTGATCTGAATCTGAATCACACAGCTTCATTCACATTAGCAACCTGAACTATAGCCGTGTTTAACTCCTGCTTCAACATGCACTGAAAACATATTGTAAATTGTATTTATTCCTGTGATCAAAGCTGAATTTTCAGCATCATTACTCCAGTCTTCAGGGTCACATGATCCTTCAGAAATCACTCTAATATGAGGATCTGATGCTCAACATTTCTGATTATTATCTATTCATATTCATGAGTCTTTTTTTTTTTTAAAAGAAAGCTTTTGTAACAGTATAAATGTCTTAAGTCATATTTTAACGCATCCTTACTGAATAAAAGCATTAAGATCTGTCGAATAATAATCGTTCTGAGCCCAAATGTTTGAACGCTAGTGAACGCTAGCGTTACATTATGTATTAGGATACATGAAGTAGTAAGTGGATGAAGCGTTATGTAATGTTTGTTAATGCCTTGTTAATGTGTGTGAGCGAGGACACTGGCGGGTGATTAGTGTGTGCTGATGGTCTTCCAGCTGTTGGGTGTCACGCTGGAGGAGTTCTGGTCACATGACTCAGAGCGGCCCATCTGTGGCCCTCAGGAGAACAACACACACACAGATCTGGGCTATTCAAGCCTTTGTGCTCTTAAACACAGGGGAGGAGACGACAAATCAATGATGCCTTCAGATCCTCAAGAACCAACTGTGAGCCTGTGTGTGTGTGTGAGCGCGCGTGTGTGTGTGAGCATGTGTGTGTGTGTGTGTGTTTGAGAGAGAGAGCGTGTGTGTGTGTGAGCGTGTGTGTGTGTGTTTGAGAGAGAGAGAGAGAGAGAGAGAGAAAGAGAGTGTGTGTGTGAGAGTGACCGTGTGTGTGTGTGTGTGTGTGTGTGAGAGCGTGTGTGTGTGTTTGAGAGAGAGAGAGAGAGAGAAAGAGAGAGAGAGAGAGAGTGTGCATGAGTGTGTGTGTGTGTTTGAGAGAGAGAGAGAGAGAGAAAGAGAGAGAGAGAGTGTGCATGAGTGTGTGTGTGAGAGAGTGAGTGTGTGTGTGTGTGTGTTTGAGAGAGAGAGAGAGAGAGAAAGAAAGAGAGAGAGAGTGTGCGTGAGTGTGTATTTGAGAGAGTGAGTGTGTGTGTGTGTGTGTTTGAGAGAGAGAAAGAGAGAGAGAGAGAGTGTGCGTGAGTGTGTATTTGAGAGAGTGAGTGTGTGTGTGTGTTTGAGAGAGAGAGAGAAAGAGAGAGAGAGAGAGTGTGCATGAGTGTGTGTGTGTGTTTGAGAGAGAGAGAGACAGAGAGAGAGAAAGAGAGAGAGAGTGTGCATGAGTGTGTGTGTGAGAGAGTGAGTGTGTGTGTGTGTGTGTGTTTTAGAGAGAGAGAGAGAGAGAAAGAGAGTGTGTGTGTGAGAGAGTGAGCGTGTGTGTGTTTGAGAGAGAGAGAGAGAGAGTGTGTGTGTGTGTGTGTGTGAGAGAGTGAGCGTGTGTGTGTGTGTTTGAGAGAGAAAGAAAGAAAGAGTGTGTGTGCGTGAGTGTGTGTGTGTGAGTGTGTGAGCGTGTGTGTGTGTGTGAGCATGTGTGTGTGTGTTTGAGAGAGAAAGAAAGAAAGAGAGAGTGTGTGTGTGTGTGTGTGTGTGCGTGAGTGTGTGTGTGAGAGAGAGAGACTGTGTGTGTGAGAGAGTGACTGTGTGTGTGTGTGTTTGAGAGAGTGAGCGTGTGTGTGTGTGTGTGTTTGAGAGAGAAAGAAAGAAAGAGTGTGTGTGCGTGAGTGTGTGTGTGAGAGAGAGTGAGCGTGTGTGTGTGTGTGTGTGTGTGTGAGAGAGTGAGCGTGTGTGTGTGTGTGAGCATGTGTGTGTGTGTTTGAGAGAGAAAGAAAGAAAGAGAGAGTGTGTGTGTGTGTGCGTGAGTGTGTGTGTGAGAGAGAGTGTGTGTGTGAGAGAGTGAGTGTGTGTGTGTGTGTTTGAGAGAGTGAGCGTGTGTGTGTGTGTTTGAGAGAGAAAGAAAGAAAGAGTGTGTGTGCGTGAGTGTGTGTGTGAGAGAGAGTGAGCGTGTGTGTGTGTGTGTGAGAGAGTGAGCGTGTGTGTGTGTGTGTGTGTGAGAGAGAGTGAGCGTGTGTGTGTGTGTGAGCATGTGTGTGTGTGTTTGAGAGAGAAAGAAAGAAAGAAAGAGAGTGAGTGTGTGTGAGAGAGTGAGTGTGTGTGTGGTCCTGGTAAACCCTACATCATAGAGAAAAAATGTCAAAATGGAAATTTTTTGGTCCCTATGAGGAAACCAGATTATAAATCATAATAAGTGATGTTTTTGAAAATGTAAAAATGCAGAACGTTTTCTGTGCTGGTTCAGTTTAGTGTAAGGAGAGAGAATATACAGTTATAGGCCATTACAAATATAATGTTTTAGTTATACTAAAGTTTTCAGACTGCGCATCCCTTTATTACATTATTATCTCATAATTGCCAAGGGCCTTATCATATTATTCCACCAAAACATGTTCAAAGCTACAGAGACCCTAGAGGGACATGGTGATGGACAAATATGAGAGAAGAAAAATTGTCAATGCTTTTGCGTTTTCTCTTAAATATTTTGCATTCGCTTGAGAAACTTGTACAGTAGTAACCCACGACAAAATAATTGTAATTGATACATATATATATATTTCAAACAATACTTAACATGTTCAAGTTGATCTCTCAGTGTAATATAAGAAAGCAGAGTTAAAAAAACTGCTGTTTAACTGAATAAATGTAATTGTTTTCAGATTTTTAATGAACAGATTTATGCAGCAATTTGAATAAATGAATTTTTCAAAATATGTTTTTTTCAATAAAATCAAACAGATGCATATAGATAATTAGTAAACTATTGCAAGAGTTTTTGAGAGCAGAAATCGTACCCTTTAAGTATGACTGACACTTATGCATCACGTTAACTTTATTAGTTTGTTTCTGTAAAACTGTGTAATCCAAAAACATCAAGTTAGGCCTGAATGTTTTGTGTGGATGAGTTTGGGATCGGCTGGTGTAAGGAACTGAACATCCAGATCCTGTGTGAGGCCCTGGATGCGGTTGCCATGGTTACCTGGTCACTCCACCTGAAGTCGGGGGTGATGCTGAGGCGCACGCGCAGGACCGTGCGTGTGATTGGCTGAATGCTGGACTCCATCAGGATGGCAGGGATCTGATGAACACACTGCTTCACCTTCAGCCCGATGTTCACGTGATGCAACATGTGACCTACACACACACACACACACACACGCGTTTCACTGTATTAGTGAGGACACTGCATAGACTTCCATTGATTTTATATCAGGTTTATGATATCAAAGCCTTAAACCATCACAGAAACATGTGCAAAACACTAGATTTAAATAAAAATAACATTAAAAAACACACATGCATACACACATCCAAATATTTTTGAAAATATAAATTGTGGTGAGAAACAGCCGTCTAAGACAGAGTCTACCCCTGAGCAGTGCAGGAGACTGTGTGAGACTGACCGATCTCATCTTTGCCCATGTCTCTGAGCTGGTCCAGGGTGATCTTCCTCTCCTCCAGGCGGGACAGCACAGACGAGGGCAGAGCGCTGAACTGCCGGAGCGGGTGAGCCCAGCCCCACAGGCGCTTGTCGATCACCTTACACAGGTTCAGCAGGCGGTGGGTCATGACGGGCCAGCGCTTCCTCAGGGCGATCTCGAACAGGGCCCGCACGATCCGAGCTGCGTTCTGCACACACACACACACACACACACACACACTCACTCAGACAGGGCCCGCACGATACAAGCTGCGTTCTGCACACACACACACACACACACACACACTCAGACAGGGCCCGCACGATCCGAGCTGCGTTCTGCACACACACACACACACACACTCAGACAGGGCCCGCACGATACAAGCTGCGTTCTGCACACACACACACACACACACTCAGACAGGGCCCGCACGATCCGAGCTGCGTTCTGCACACACACACACACACACACACACACTCAGACAGGGCCCGCACGATACAAGCTGCGTTCTGCACACACACACACACACACACACACGCACGCACTCACTCACTCACTCACTCACTCACTCACTCACTCACTCACTCACTCACATTCACACACACACTCTCTCTCTCTCTCTCTCTCTCTCTCACACACACACACACACACACACACACACACACACACACACACACACACACTCAGAACACAGCTCGTATCATAGTTCACAATGTAGACAACATTGAATACATACATTTTCCTCAGGTTAGATACTGATAATGAATCACTCAAACCCCTTTATCTAAACCTCTCTACACCACCGCCGGACTCGCGCGTCCTCCATGTCTGTAGTTTTTGAACACTTTTCACTCGTGTTTGTAGTTCTAACCAAATCCTCGTGCAGTGTGCGATGGGTTGTGGGCAATATTAGCGCGTATCGATCTGCACTTCGGATTCTGACCGGATATAGTAGACCATCCGGGTCTCTTTGAAACACTCATTTTAACATACTACGATTTGGGACGTACTAATTATATTTTCGAATACTATTTAGGACGGATATTATGCGAATTGGGACGCAGCATTAGTAATCATTCAGAAGATGTGTAACAGCGCCCCCTACCGTATAACAGCGGAAAACACGGAAAGCCAGAAATGTCCAGTAGCACCTCAATGCAGTACATGAGATCCACGGGGAGGAGTCGGATCAAGATGGGTAGGATTAGGAGTGGGTTTAGGGAGTAGGAGTGGGTTTAGGGAGTAGGAGTGGGTTTAGGGATCAGGGGTGGGTTTAGGGATTAGGAGTGGGTTCAGGGATCAGGGGTGGGTTTAGGGATCAGGGGTGGGTTTAGGGATTAGGGGTGGGTTTAGGGAGTAGGAGTGGGTTTAGGGATCAGGGGTGGGTTTAGGGATTAGGAGTGGGTTTAGGGAGTAGGAGTGGGTTTAGGGAGTAGGAGTGGGTTTAGGGAGTAGGAGTGGGTTTAGGGATTAGGGGTGGGTTTAGGGAGTAGGAGTGGGTTTAGGGAGTAGGAGTGGGTTTAGGGAGTAGGAGTGGGTTTAGGGATTAGGGGTGGGTTTAGGTAGTAGGGGTGGGTTTAGGGAGTAGGAGTGGGTCTAGGGAGTAGGAGTGGGTTTAGGGAGAGGGTTTAGGGAGTAGGAGTGGGTTTAGGGAGTAGGAGTGGGTTTAGGGAGTAGGAGTGGGTTTAGGGATTAGGGGTGGGTTTAGGGATCAGGGGTGGGTTTAGGGATTAGGGGTGGGTTTAGGGATCAGGGGTGGGTTTAGGGAGTAGGAGTGGGTTTAGGGAGTAGGAGTGGGTTTAGGGATTAGGGGTGGGTTTAGGGAGTAGGAGTGGGTTTAGGGATCAGGGGTGGGTTTAGGGATCAGGGGTGGGTTTAGGGAGTAGGAGTGGGTTTAGGGAGTAGGAGTGGGTTTAGGGATTAGGGGTGGGTTTAGGGAGTAGGAGTGGGTTTAGGGAGTAGGAGTGGGTTTAGGGATTAGGGGTGGGTTTAGGGAGTAGGAGTGGGTTTAGGGATCAGGGGTGGGTTTAGGGATTAGGAGTGGGTTTAGGGATTAGGGGTGGGTTTAGGGAGTAGGAGTGGGTTTAGGGATCAGGGGTGGGTTTAGGGATCAGGGGTGGGTTTAGGGATCAGGGGTGGGTTTAGGGAGTAGGGGTGGGTTTAGGGATCAGGGGTGGGTTTAGGGATCAGGGGTGGGTTTAGGGATCAGGGGTGGGTTTAGGGATCAGGGGTGGGTTTAGGGAGTAGGAGTGGGTTTAGGGAGTAGGAGTGGGTTTAGGGATTAGGGGTGGGTTTAGGGAGTAGGAGTGGGTTTAGGGATCAGGGGTGGGTTTAGGGATCAGGAGTGGGTTTAGGGAGTAGGAGTGGGTTTAGGGATTAGGGGTGGGTTTAGGGAGTAGGAGTGGGTTTAGGGATCAGGGGTGGGTTTAGGGAGTAGGAGTGGGTTTAGGGATCAGGGGTGGGTTTAGGGAGTAGGAGTGGATTTAGGGAGTAGGAGTGGGTTTAGGGATCAGGGGTGGGTTTAGGGAGTAGGAGTGGGTTTAGGGAGTAGGAGTGGGTTTAGGGATTAGGGGTGGGTGTAGGGAGTAGGAGTCGGTTTAGGGATCAGGGGTGGGTTTAGGGATTAGGAGTGGGTTTAGGGATTAGGGGTGGGTTTAGGGAGTAGGAGTGGGTTTAGGGATCAGGGGTGGGTTTAGGGATCAGGGGTGGGTTTAGGGAGTAGGAGTGGGTTTAGGGATCAGGGGTGGGTTTAGGGATCAGGGGTGGGTTTAGGGAGTAGGAGTGGGTTTAGGGAGTAGGAGTGGGTTTAGGGAGTAGGAGTGGGTTTAGGGATCAGGGGTGGGTTTAGGGAGTAGGAGTGGGTTTAGGGATTAGGGGTGGGTTTAGGGAGTAGGAGTGGGTTTAGGGATCAGGGGTGGGTTTAGGGATTAGGAGTGGGTTTAGGGAGTAGGAGTGGGTTTAGGGAGTAGGAGTGGGTTTAGGGATCAGGGGTGGGTTTAGGGAGTAGGAGTGGGTTTAGGGATCAGGGGTGGGTTTAGGGATTAGGAGTGGGTTCAGGGATCAGGGGTGGGTTTAGGGATCAGGGGTGGGTTTAGGGATTAGGGGTGGGTTTAGGGATCAGGGGTGGGTTTAGGGAGTAGGAGTGGGTTTAGGGATCAGGGGTGGGTTTAGGGAGTAGGAGTGGGTTTAGGGATCAGGGGTGGGTTTAGGGATTAGGGGTGGGTTTAGGGATCAGGGGTGGGTTTAGGGATTAGGGGTGGGTTTAGGGATCAGGGGTGGGTTTAGGGATTATTCACTTTATTTGTCACATACCAGTTATAGTTCATACAACGAGCAGTGAAATGTAAGTCTGGTATTCCTATAGACTCACTGTGTAATAAAAACATACCCTAAATATTATTTAAAAGATGCAACAATTTTAAATATTTTTAAATACTTGCAAAAATAACCATGCTTGTGTCATTGTCAATAATTCCGCCCCTCCCTCACTTCCGGTTCTGGCGCTGGTGGCGCTGCGGGCCTGCAGCTGGGTATATCTCCAATGGCGGGGAAAGAGTTAATAAGACATACTGAAATAAAGTGAGAAGTTTTCAGATGGTTGAGGAACCCAGTGACGGATGCTTGGCAGTGGACGACCTTATAAAGCCGCTCGTCTAATGGGAGAGCGTCATTTTAAACAGATTTATCATATACAATTCTCTTCTTATGGGATACAGCTTTTTAAAGGCTCTTTTAAATTTAGTTCATTATCTAGAACACATTTCATGGAATAACTAATGTGTGTTTGCTCTGCCTGCTGTCGGTGTAGATCAGAGCGCAGTGTGTGTGTGTTTGACGGGTCGAGTGTGAGTTATGCTCAGAGAATCCTACATTACTTTGATCTATAAGGTGCACGTTCCCTCATAGATCTGACTGCTATGATGGACCGATCTGGTGTGCCACTGATGGATCGAGCAGAAGTGAACGAGTGCGAGGACAAACACCTGCTGACCCAGATGCTGATGTTTAACAGGCCACGAGAGCGACCCCAGGCTTTCATGCGATTGGACGAGACCCATCCCATCATCCACTCGAAGCACAGCACAGTAAACGCACAGCTTCACATGAGGTTTGTGGACTGATCTGTTGCAAAGAGCATTGGGAATCTTTAGGGTTGTGCGGTCACAGGTGAAAAACTCATTCTTTTTAGTTTGGAAAGAGAGTTTTTAAAGATTTAATTACACAATAATAGTGTTTTGAATGCTTTATCACTACTTAACCTTCATCCTTCCCTCGCGACCCGAAGCCGTAAAATTATACTTTTTTTTTATTTTTTATATTTATCTTTTAATTACTAGATTTGATCAATACATAATAAATAAATAGTTTTTTTTGTGTATTCGTGGTTCAAATGCGACAAAAGTCCTGGGGTCTTGGACCTCTCCGAATGAACACTCAATTTTTTAAAAAATATTTTACGGGTCAAAATTACCAGAAGGATTCAAATCAATCGGAATAAATTTATACATGTGCATTTTAGGGGTATTTATGTTTTCCAGTTTAAAGGGAGAACCCACATTTTCTGTTGTTCAGCGAATTTTCATGGGCGAAATCCAGTCATTTCCACAGGGATGCGTGCGATCTGGACATGTGTGTGTGACGGACTCAAGCTGCAGATTCTTAAAACTGCTTTAGTGTGAAAGTGACTTTAGTGTGAGTTGTGTTTCATGCTTTGATACACTATTGACAATGAACCTTTTTTTTTGCCTGCAAAACTTCACGTATGCGACCCACACCTTAATGCTGTACATTTAATAGACATCTCATTATAATTGGTTCCAGAAGAAAATATTTGGAAATTATATATTTACAACATCTGGAATATGGCATTATATCTTCAGATGATTTAAAAGAAAAAAAATTATTTATCTAAATACTTCTTGCATTAGTTGCTGAAATTGTGGTCCAAATTCTGGTTCCACTGGAGAAAAAAAAAAAGAGCAAATCCATAAATTTTATGATTTTGAATATCACTGAAAGCCGGAAACACAAAAAGATTATAAACTCTTTCCCTGCCAGCGTTTACTAAAAAAAGTTGCGCCCGCATTTTTTTTATCATATTCACAAAACTTTCATGATCCCCAGTTTATTTTGTTGTATGAATATGTACAAGAACAGAGAAAGAACAAAGCCTTTGCTTAAAAAAAAAAAAAAGTTTCATAAACATCCAAAAAAAACATTGAACAAAAAGACTGCAGATTGGATTACGAACGATGATCAAAACAGTCGTCAATGGCAAGGAAACATGTCATAAACGGTATATCTCGTCAATGGTGAGGAAAGAGCACAATTATAAATTATATATATATATATATTTAGCTATATTGCCCAGCGCAAGTCACTCAAGCTCTTATTTATTCTCAGTCATTTACAAATGCTTGGAGAATCAGATCGACTGAATCATTAACAAATAACTGTCTCCGAAGAACCGTTCGCTCAGAACCGTTCTCTTCAATCTTCAGCTGAACGACGGGAAGATCCCTGAACAGATGCAAAAACCATCCGAAGAATCATTGTGTGTGTGTGTGTGCGTAAACATGTACATCTAAAACCCATGAAGGCTGCCGGAGAGAGAGATCTCAGACCCGAGCATCAGAGAAGGTCTGGATTTAAAATCAACAAACGTTTGACGCGGAAATGCCTCCCACTGCCGGATCCCAGCTGCACATCTGAAATCAGCCGGATTAGGAGCAAAGAGGGAATTTCTCCGAGCGATTTGCACTATCCGAGCACATGGAAGCTGTTGTACATGGATAGATGTCTTCCACAGAGCACATCGCAGTCGCAGAACACTCACAATCTCGCTCACTATTTAGTCCTCGTGTTGCTTGAAGCATGCGTGTGTTTCTTCATGGATCTTTTCCATACAACGGCAATCACCATAAACGCGTCCACTCATCTCCGCAGATCTCACATTTGAGTTCAACGCTTCTTTAAATGTGCCACGATCACAGAAGAACATCATATCGTTGGCGTATTTATGCACATTAAGCTTTTTAGGCTTCAAATGGTGTCGTATGGACCACTTTAATAATGCTGTTTTTTGGTTGTTTTGGTGATGCGTCAAATGTAGTGATGCACCGATACTAAATCTCTAATATTCAGAATGATATTGGGTGATACCGATGCCGATAGTTTGATTTTCCTCTCAAATAATGCTGGGAAATATCCAGGGAAGCCTCTCATTTGGCAAACTATAATATTAGAGGTTAAATTAACAACAGAGCTATTATTCAACTGCTATTTATTTCCAGATATAATATTTACACTCAAAATAAAAGCAGAAATATTTGTATACACATAAGGTAGTTTGCATAAACACTTGCTAATTGCAAATATATTCAAAGCATACAAATATAATTAACAGTAAATACGCTTCTGATATTCATGCATGTTTTTCTAGATATAATTTGTATTAAAGTGGAAGAAAAGACTGAGGCGATACAGCGATGTGTCACATTTAAGAGCGGCAAAACGCCATTTATTGTTTGAATTTGGTGATAAAATGGACAGAATTTGAAAGCTGAGACTTTAAGTAACAGAGCACAAAGCTGTTAAACAAATAATGTTTGATGTAGGGGGCAAAAAGTAGATCTGGCAACCCTGGCGTGAACTACGGGTGATTTAAAGCCTGCTTTTATGTAGCTATTTTTAACTGTTAATGCGTTATTGTCACTTTAACTTGCCCTAAATACAACACAGAGATGTCCCTCACAGACACAGTCTGTGTGTCACAGTTTTCCCGCACCCTTTTGATGGACAGATCGTATAATAATAGCTTTAATCGGCCGATGCTGATTATTGGCCGATACATCGGTGCATCTCTAGTTGTGTTGTGTTGTGGTTTATTGTGTTTCACTGCGGCTTTACATTTCAAGACGAATTTCCTTGAAAAAAGGACAATTAAGTATAACTCGAACTCTTATTTGTCCTTTCTGGTACTCAACGGTGTAGCCATCAGTTTTCATTGCGTGGAAAAGAGCAGCATGAGTGTGTGTATAGGAAATATTCCTTTAAAACTCAGTGTTCAGCAAATTTGGAGGACAAAAGAAAGCAGGACCGAATGTGACAAATTACAACGAATAATGACAACGAAATAAACATTTTCAGACAGCCAAGCTTTTATAATATTGAAGTGTTTTGCAAAACTTGCTGAATGAGCCTCTCGCCCATTGTGGATCTTCAGCTAATTTACAAAATTCACTAAAATTGAACTCGACTCGCATAATTAAGCTTTTCCGACAGGGAAAATTCTTCATTGGGCCGATTCCCATTGAAATGATGAAGTTTGGTCAGAATTGGAGAAACATTATGTGATTATATCAGACACGGCTCTGAACACAATCTTCCGTAATTGATGTGCCGTTGCATATGATTTGGCAGGTTTAATTTCTCAATGTTAAAGCGCGTATAATGAGGACGAAGCTGTTGGGTGTCTCACCTGCGCTACATAAGACAGGTCAGAGATGAGGGAGAAGCTGTCCACTTCCCCGCGCCCGATGTACGTCTGGAGGAGGATGTTGATCTTCCCGTAACCGTTCTCCACTCCTCCAGCCGCTGGAAGCTCACAGAAATCACACAACATCTTCTCCAGTTCCTCCAGCTCCTCGTCCCGGACCTGTGCGTCACACACACACCTCACTGTGAGACACACCCGTTACTAAAGACCAAAGACCTGTGTGTGTGTGAACCGACGACCTCTCACCTTGATCTGCTCAAACTCTTCCGCTTTTGAAACGATGCTCAGAATATCTGCTTCGGTCTTCTGCGCGCTGAAAAGCTCATTGAAAGTCTGTGGAATGTAAAGAAAGAATATTAAAAAGTCAAAGATGCATTTAATGTACATTAAGCCAATCAAAGCTGTATTTCCAGCATCATTACTCCAGTCTTCAGTGTCACATGATCCTTCAGAAATCACTCTAATATGATGACTTGACTTCTATTTAAAATAGAAATCTTATGTCATATTATAAATGTCTTTACTGTCACGTTTGATCAATTTAATGCATCCTTGCTGAATAAAAACATCACTCTAATCTGCTGATTTGATGCTCAAGAAACATTTCTGATTATTATCAGTGTTGAAAACAGTTGTGCTGCGCAATATTTTCGTGGAAAATTATAAATGTATTTATTTTTTGTTAGGATACTTTGATGAATAGAAAGATCTAAGAACAGACTTCTATTTAAAATAGAAATCTTTTGTAATATTAGAAATGTCTTTACAGTCACGTTTGATCAATTTAATGCATCCTTGCTGAATAAAATAAAACATCACTCTAATCTGCTGATTTGATGCTCAAGAAACATTTCTGATTATTATCATCAGTTGCAAACAGTTGTGCTGCGCAATATTTTTGTGGAAAACATTATACTTTTTTTTTTTTTCAGATTTATTTGATGAATAGAAAGTTCAAAAGCACAGCATTTATTTGAAACATAAATCTTTTGTAATATTATAACTTCATTCACTGTCACTTTTGATTAATTTAATGCATCCTTGCTGAATAATTTCAAAAATATTTTTGCCAAGTTAACCGTCATGCTTTCTTTGAGAATGAAACACTGCATGCAGCCAATGGCTCGCTCTATACATCCGTACACATCTCACCTCCATAGTGTTGTACTTTATGTAGAAGTGACTGGCCGTCCTGCCAAGATCTGTGGACGCAAAATAACCCGTCCTCTCGTCGAACCGGATCATCCGAGCTTTATCAAGCTTTCTGCCCGACTCCACCACTAACTCCTTCCTGTAGAGCTCCAACTGCGGGTCCATCTGAACAACACAATTATAATCAACTATTAGCAGAATATTTCACCACAAATCATTTGACATAATAAACTATAACAAGAGAGGAAAATATAACTGTATAACTAATATTTATATTATAACAATATAACTATATTATATATATATATATATTTTTTTTTACAACGAAAATATAAATAAAAACTGAAAACCGGCAAATCCCATTTAACTACTGAGACTGAGAGCATGAGCACCTGACAGGCCTTGTGGTTGATCCCGTAAACGAGTGGATTGGCTCTCATTCGCACGTACAGATACGTGTAACTCAACCACCGGACGGCTTCATCAACATTAGTGACCGTCCCTAGAGCGATCTGCACAAAACAACCAACAATAAGCAAGCATCACATTTCAAGCACTTTAAATCAAATCCTAATGTTTTCTAGAGGTGTGGGTTGGGTTTAATATTACTAACTATGTGATTGAGATCTTGGACATAATATGATAATTGATATGCCATGCACAACAGTCCTAAATACATGCAGAAATGATTTTAATCTAATATTCAACTGATGCCTGATGTCACTGCGCCATCTGTTGGATGAACTGATCATGAGTTTCTATTGGAAAACGCTTGTGGATGCTGCCATCATGTGGCAGAGTGAGGAACAGCCCTTTCCTTCTACTATTATAAACATCTTGAAGAGGTCATTAAGCTCGTTTCATTCTTTTCCAAGCTTATCATCATTAATTCAATTACAAAGACACATTCTAGCTATCAAATATTTTTTAAATAAAAACATACTTTTGCAAACAAACAAAAACTAAAGTGAAACTCCTTGTTCAGTGCAAACTATATACAATTAGAGACAAAACAGCCTGACTTTAGATTTGAGTGTTAGAACAATGTGTGATTCTACTGTAGGAGATGATTTATATAACCTAAATTAGATTATTCAAATCCTCTCCTACAGTAGAATCACAAATATCTAATCAGTGCTGGGCAACGATTAATCACATCCAAAAATAAAAGTTAATATATGTGTGTACTGTGTATAATTATTTTGTATAATATAACATATGCATGTACATTGAATATATTTTTACATAATTTATATTATATATATATAAATAACACGTTTGTTTTAATACATGCATGCATACATACATGCATGTGTGTGTATTGCTATGTACAAAATAATTATACACAGTACACACACATATATTATGTAAACACAAACTTTTATTTTGGATGCGATTAATCGTTGCCCAGCACTAAATCTAACACAATTTTTTTTTGTTTTTATTCATATTATGAATTAGCTTATATTTTCAGCTTCATTTTAATTTAAATTTTAGTAATTTTGTTGTGCTTCTGTAATTATATATATATATATATTTAAAAACTAATAATAAATAAAATAAAAATATTAAATATTTAACATTGTAATTGTAATTTCTTATCACTGATAATCTTATACAACTGTTTTGACAAAAGCATAAATAAAGTGTAATGTGATTAATGTATAATGAGATAATATGATTATTAAGTGTAGTAAAGAGTAATGAACTTAAAAAGTACATTAATATTGAAAATCAGGAGATTGAAAGAGCAGATTTACGCCAAAGGTCATCATATTTATATATGTGGCCCAGCAGGTCTCCTCAGCTTGAAGGCAGTGTGTGTGGCTGTACCTCAGTGTTGAGGTTGGCAGTGTGTGTGGCTGTACCTCAGTGTTGAGGTTGGCAGTGTGTGTGGCTGTACCTCAGTGTTGAGGTTGGCAGTGTGTGTGGCTGTACCTCAGTGTTGAGGTTGGCAGTGTGTGTGGCTGTACCTCAGTGTTGAGGTTGGGAGTGTGTGTGGCTGTATCTCAGTGTTGAGGTTGGCAGTGTGTGTGGCTGTATCTCAGTGTTGAGGTTGGCAGTGTGTGTGGCTGTACCTCAGTGTTGAGGTTGGCAGTGTGTGGCTGTATCTCAGCGTTGAGGTTGGCAGTGTGTGTGGCTGTACCTCAGTGTTGAGGTTGGCAGTGTGTGTGGCTGTACCTCAGTGTTGAGGTTGGCAGTGTGTGTGGCTGTATCTCAGTGTTGAGGTTGGCAGTGTGTGTGGCTGTACCTCAGTGTTGAGGTTGGCAGTGTGTGTGGCTGTATCTCAGTGTTGAGGTTGGCAGTGTGTGTGGCTGTATCTCAGTGTTGAGGTTGGCAGTGTGTGTGGCTGTACCTCAGTGTTGAGGTTGGCAGTGTGTGTGGCTGTATCTCAGTGTTGAGGTTGGCAGTGTGTGTGGCTGTATCTCAGTGTTGAGGTTGGCAGTGTGTGTGGCTGTATCTCAGTGTTGAGGTTGGCAGTGTGTGTGGCTGTATCTCAGTGTTGAGGTTGGCAGTGTGTGTGGCTGTATCTCAGTGTTGAGGTTGGCAGTGTGTGTGGCTGTATCTCAGTGTTGAGGTTGGCAGTGTGTGTGGCTGTACCTCAGTGTTGAGGTTGGTAGTGTGTGTGGCTGTACCTCAGTGTTGAGGTTGGTAGTGTGTGTGGCTGTACCTCAGTGTTGAGGTTGGGAGTGTGTGTGGCTGTATCTCAGCGTTGAGGTTGGCAGTGTGTGTGGCTGTATCTCAGTGTTGAGGTTGGCAGTGTGTGTGGCTGTACCTCAGTGTTGAGGTTGGCAGTGTGTGTGGCTGTATCTCAGTGTTGAGGTTGGCAGTGTGTGTGGCTGTATCTCAGTGTTGAGGTTGGCAGTGTGTGTGGCTGTATCTCAGTGTTGAGGTTGGCCGTGTGTGTGGCTGTACCTCAGTGTTGAGGTTGGTAGTGTGTGTGGCTGTACCTCAGTGTTGAGGTTTGCAGTGTGTGTGGCTGTATCTCAGTGTTGAGGTTGGCCGTGTGTGTGGCTGTACCTCAGTGTTGAGGTTGGTAGTGTGTGTGGCTGTACCTCAGTGTTGAGGTTGGTAGTGTGTGTGGCTGTACCTCAGTGTTGAGGTTGGTAGTGTGTGTGGCTGTACCTCAGTGTTGAGGTTGGCAGTGTGTGTGGCTGTATCTCAGTGTTGAGGTTGTCAGTGTGTGTGGCTGTATCTCAGCGTTGAGGTTGGCAGTGTGTGTGGCTGTACCTCAGTGTTGAGGTTGGTAGTGTGTGTGGCTGTACCTCAGTGTTGAGGTTGGTAGTGTGTGTGGCTGTACCTCAGTGTTGAGGTTGGGAGTGTGTGTGGCTGTATCTCAGCGTTGAGGTTGGCAGTGTGTGTGGCTGTATCTCAGTGTTGAGGTTGGCAGTGTGTGTGGCTGTATCTCAGTGTTGAGGTTGGCAGTGTGTGTGGCTGTATCTCAGTGTTGAGGTTGGCAGTGTGTGTGGCTGTACCTCAGTGTTGAGGTTGGTAGTGTGTGTGGCTGTACCTCAGTGTTGAGGTTGGTAGTGTGTGTGGCTGTACCTCAGTGTTGAGGTTGGCCGTGTGTGTGGCTGTACCTCAGTGTTGAGGTTGGCAGTGTGTGTGGCTGTATCTCAGTGTTGAGGTTGGCAGTGTGTGTGGCTGTATCTCAGTGTTGAGGTTGGCAGTGTGTGTGGCTGTATCTCAGTGTTGAGGTTGACAGTGTGTGTGGCTGTACCTCAGTGTTGAGGTTGGCAGTGTGTGTGGCTGTATCTCAGTGTTGAGTTTGGCAGTGTGTGTGGCTGTATCTCAGTGTTGAGGTTGGCAGTGTGTGTGGCTGTATCTCAGTGTTGAGGTTGGCCGTGTGTGTGGCTGTACCTCAGTGTTGAGTTTGGCAGTGTGTGTGGCTGTATATCAGTGTTGAGGTTGGCAGTGTGTGTGGCTGTACCTCAGTGTTGAGGTTGGCAGTGTGTGTGGCTGTATCTCAGTGTTGAGTTTGGCAGTGTGTGTGGCTGTATCTCAGTGTTGAGGTTGGCAGTGTGTGTGGCTGTATCTCAGTGTTGAGGTTGGCAGTGTGTGTGGCTGTATCTCAGTGTTGAGGTTGGCAGTGTGTGTGGCTGTATCTCAGTGTTGAGGTTGGCAGTGTGTGTGGCTGTATCTCAGTGTTGAGGTTGGCAGTGTGTGTGGCTGTATCTCAGTGTTGAGGTTGGCAGTGTGTGTGGCTGTATCTCAGTGTTGAGGTTGGCAGTGTGTGTGGCTGTACCTCAGTGTTGAGGTTGGCAGTGTGTGTGGCTGTATCTCAGTGTTGAGGTTGGCAGTGTGTGTGGCTGTATCTCAGTGTTGAGGTTGGCAGTGTGTGTGGCTGTATCTCAGCGTTGAGGTTGGCAGTGTGTGTGGCTGTATCTCAGCGTTGAGGTTGGCAGTGTGTGTGGCTGTATCTCAGTGTTGAGGTTGGCAGTGTGTGTGGCTGTATCTCAGTGTTGAGGTTGGCAGTGTGTGTGGCTGTATCTCAGTGTTGAGGTTGGCAGTGTGTGTGGCTGTACCTCAGTGTTGAGGTTGGCAGTGTGTGTGGCTGTATCTCAGTGTTGAGGTTGGCAGTGTGTGTGGCTGTATCTCAGTGTTGAGGTTGGCCGTGTGTGTGGCTGTACCTCAGTGTTGAGGTTGGTAGTGTGTGTGGCTGTACCTCAGTGTTGAGTTTGGCAGTGTGAGTGGCTGTTTCTCAGTGTTGAGGTTGGCAGTGTGTGTGGCTGTATCTCAGTGTTGAGGTTGGCCGTGTGTGTGGCTGTACCTCAGTGTTGAGGTTGGTAGTGTGTGTGGCTGTACCTCAGTGTTGAGGTTGGTAGTGTGTGTGGCTGTACCTCAGTGTTGAGGTTGGCAGTGTGTGTGGCTGTACCTCAGTGTTGAGGTTGGCAGTGTGTGTGGCTGTATCTCAGTGTTGAGGTTGGCAGTGTGTGTGGCTGTATCTCAGTGTTGAGGTTGGCAGTGTGTGTGGCTGTATCTCAGTGTTGAGGTTGGCAGTGTGTGTGGCTGTATCTCAGTGTTGAGGTTGGCAGTGTGTGTGGCTGTATCTCAGTGTTGAGGTTGGCCGTGTGTGTGGCTGTACCTCAGTGTTGAGGTTGGCAGTGTGTGTGGCTGTATCTCAGTGTTGAGGTTGGCAGTGTGTGTGGCTGTACCTCAGTGTTGAAGTTGGCCGTGTGTGTGGCTGTACCTCAGTGTTGAGGTTGGCAGTGTGTGTGGCTGTATCTCAGTGTTGAGGTTGGCAGTGTGTGTGGCTGTACCTCAGTGTTGAGGTTGGCAGTGTGTGTGGCTGTATCTCAGTGTTGAGGTTGGCAGTGTGTGTGGCTGTACCTCATTGTTGAGGTTGGCAGTGTGTGTGGCTGTATCTCAGTGTTGAGTTTGGCAGTGTGTGTGGCTGTATCTCAGTGTTGAGGTTGGCAGTGTGTGTGGCTGTATCTCAGTGTTGAGGTTGGCAGTGTGTGTGGCTGTATCTCAGTGTTGAGGTTGGCAGTGTGTGTGGCTGTATCTCAGTGTTGAGGTTGGCAGTGTGTGTGGCTGTATCTCAGTGTTGAGGTTGGCAGTGTGTGTGGCTGTATCTCAGTGTTGAGGTTGGCAGTGTGTGTGGCTGTACCTCAGTGTTGAGGTTGGCAGTGTGTGTGGCTGTATCTCAGTGTTGAGGTTGGCAGTGTGTGTGGCTGTATCTCAGTGTTGAGGTTGGCAGTGTGTGTGGCTTTATCTCAGCGTTGAGGTTGGCAGTGTGTGTGGCTGTATCTCAGCGTTGAGGTTGGCAGTGTGTGTGGCTGTATCTCAGTGTTGAGGTTGGCAGTGTGTGTGGCTGTATCTCAGTGTTGAGGTTGGCAGTGTGTGTGGCTGTATCTCAGTGTTGAGGTTGGCAGTGTGTGTGGCTGTATCTCAGTGTTGAGGTTGGCAGTGTGTGTGGCTGTATCTCAGTGTTGAGGTTGGCCGTGTGTGTGGCTGTACCTCAGTGTTGAGGTTGGTAGTGTGTGTGGCTGTACCTCAGTGTTGAGTTTGGCAGTGTGTGTGGCTGTATCTCAGTGTTGAGGTTGGCAGTGTGTGTGGCTGTATCTCAGTGTTGAGGTTGGCCGTGTGTGTGGCTGTACCTCAGTGTTGAGGTTGGGAGTGTGTGTGGCTGTATCTCAGCGTTGAGGTTGGCAGTGTGTGTGGCTGTATCTCAGTGTTGAGGTTGGCAGTGTGTGTGGCTGTATCTCAGTGTTGAGGTTGGCAGTGTGTGTGGCTGTATCTCAGTGTTGAGGTTGGCAGTGTGTGTGGCTGTACCTCAGTGTTGAGGTTGGCAGTGTGTGTGGCTGTATCTCAGTGTTGAGTTTGGCAGTGTGTGTGGCTGTATCTCAGTGTTGAGGTTGGCAGTGTGTGTGGCTGTATCTCAGTGCTGAGGTTGGCCGTGTGTGTGGCTGTACCTCAGTGTTGAGGTTGGCAGTGTGTGTGGCTGTATCTCAGTGTTGAGGTTGGCAGTGTGTGTGGCTGTACCTCAGTGTTGAGGTTGGCAGTGTGTGTGGCTGTATCTCAGTGTTGAGTTTGGCAGTGTGTGTGGCTGTATCTCAGTGTTGAGGTTGGCAGTGTGTGTGGCTGTATCTCAGTGTTGAGGTTGGCAGTGTGTGGCTGTACCTCAGTGTTGAGTTTGGCAGTGTGTGTGGCTGTACCTCAGTGTTGAGTTTGGCAGTGTGTGTGGCTGTATCTCAGTGTTGAGGTTGGCAGTGTGTGTGGCTGTATCTCAGTGTTGAGGTTGGCAGTGTGTGTGGCTGTATCTCAGTGTTGAGTTTGGCCGTGTGTGTGGCTGTACCTCAGTGTTGAGGTTGGCAGTGTGTGTGGCTGTACCTCAGCGTTGAGGTTGGCAGTGTGTGTGGCTGTACCTCAGCGTTGAGGTTGGCAGTGTGTGTGGCTGTACCTCAGTGTTGAGGTTGGCAGTGTGTGTGGCTGTACCTCAGTGTTGAGGTTGGCAGTGTGTGTGGCTGTATCTCAGTGTTGAGGTTGGCCGTTTGTGTGGCTGTACCTCAGTGTTGAGGTTGGCAGTGTGTGTGGCTGTATCTCAGTGTTGAGGTTGGCAGTGTGTGTGGCTGTACCTCAGGGTTGAGGTTGGCCGTGTGTGTGGCTGTATCTCAGCGTTGAGGTTAGCAGTGTGTGTGGCTGTATCTCAGTGTTGAGGTTGGCAGTGTGTGTGGCTGTACCTCAGTGTTGAGGTTAGCAGTGTGTGTGGCTGTATCTCAGTGTTGAGGTTGGCAGTGTGTGTGGCTGTACCTCAGTGTTGAGGTTGGCAGTGTGTGTGGCTGTATCTCAGTGTTGAGGTTGGCAGTGTGTGTGGCTGTACCTCAGTGTTGAGGTTAGCAGTGTGTGTGGCTGTATCTCAGTGTTGAGGTTGGCAGTGTGTGTGGCTGTATCTCAGTGTTGAGGTTGGCAGTGTGTGTGGCTGTATCTCAGTGTTGAGGTTGGCAGTGTGTGTGGCTGTATCTCAGCGTTGAGGTTAGCAGTGTGTGTGGCTGTATCTCAGTGTTGAGGTTGGCAGTGTGTGTGGCTGTACCTCAGTGTTGAGGTTGGCCGTGTGTGGCTGTATCTCAGCGTTGAGGTTGGCCGTGTGTGTGGCTGTACCTCAGTGTTGAGGTTGGCAGTGTGTGTGGCTGTATCTCAGCGTTGAGGTTGGCAGTGTGTGTGGCTGTACCTCAGTGTTGAGGTTGGCAGTGTGTGTGGCTGTACCTCAGTGTTGAGGTTGGCAGTGTGTGTGGCTGTACCTCAGTGTTGAGGTTGGCCGTGTGTGTGGCTGTATCTCAGTGTTGAGGTTGGCAGTGTGTGTGGCTGTACCTCAGTGTTGAGTTTGGCAGTGTGTGTGGCTGTATCTCAGTGTTGAGGTTGGCAGTGTGTGTGGCTGTACCTCAGTGTTGAGGTTGGCAGTGTGTGTGGCTGTACCTCAGTGTTGAGGTTGGCAGTGTGTGTGGCTGTACCTCAGTGTTGAGGTTGGCAGTGTGTGTGGCTGTATCTCAGTGTTGAGGTTGGCAGTGTGTGTGGCTGTATCTCAGTGTTGAGGTTGGCAGTGTGTGTGGCTGTACCTCAGCGTTGAGGTTGTCGGATAGGCTCTGCTGGAACTGGCTCTCGATGGGGTTCTGCTGGGTCAGGAGCGTCAGGTAATGGCTCAGCTTCTCATGGGTCGTGATGATGGTTCCCTCACCGTACTTGTCAAACTGTGGCCGTCCGGCCCGACCGAAGATCTGCATCACGTCCAGGATGCCCAGATCCACCAGCGCTCCACGCTTGGCATCATAGATATTAGTGCCCTGATATCAGACAGCAATCATTTAAAGCTCATTCTGTAGATTCCAGAATGATGATTCAAGTGCTCCTATTATGCTTATTTAAAGGATCTGAAAGGATTTTGTTTTGGAGTCTCCTTCTACAGGTTTACATGCATCCAAGGCCAAACACACTTCTACTCAACTCTGATTGGTCAGATGGCTCAGTCTGTTGTGATTGGTCTACTCAACTCTGATTGGTCAGATGGCTCAGTCTGTTGTGATTGGTCTACTCAGCTCTGATTGGTCAGATGGCTCAGTCTGTTGCGATTGTTCTACTCTGCTCTGATTGGTCAGATGGCTCAGTCTGTTGTGATTGGTCTACTCTGCTCTGATTGGTCAGATGGCTCAGTCTGTTGTGATTGGTCTGCTCTGCTCTGATTGGTCAGATGACCCAGTCTGTTGCGATTGTTCTACTCTGCTCTGATTGGTCAGATGGCTCAGTCTGTTGTGATTGGTCTACTCTGCTCTGATTGGTCAGATGGCTCAGTCTGTTGTGATTGGTCTGCTCTGCTCTGATTGGTCAGATGACCCAGTCTGTTGCGATTGCTCTACTCTGCTCTGATTGGTCAGATGGCTCAGTCTGTTGTGATTGGTCTACTCTGCTCTGATTGGTCAGATGGCTCAGTCTTTTGTGATTGGTCTGCTCTGCTCTGATTGGTCAGATGACCCAGTCTGTTGCGATTGCTCTACTCTGCTCTGATTGGTCAGATGACCCAGTCTGTTGCGATTGTTCTCCTCTGCTCTGATTGGTCAGATGGCTACGTCTGTTGCGATTGTTCTACTCTGCTCTGATTGGTCAGATGGCTCAGTCTGTTGTGATTGGTCTACTCTGCTCTGATTGGTCAGATGGCTCAGTCTGTTGTGATTGGTCTGCTCTGCTCTGATTGGTCCGATGACCCAGTCTGTTGCGATTGCTCTACTCTGCTCTGATTGGTCAGATGGCTCAGTCTGTTGTGATTGGTCTACTCTGCTGATTGGTCAGATGGCTCAGTCTGTTGTGATTGGTCTACTCTGCTCTGATTGGTCAGATGACCCAGTCTGTTGCGATTGCTCTACTCTGCTCTGATTGGTCAGATGGCTCAGTCTGTTGTGATTGGTCTACTCTGCTCTGATTGGTCAGATGACCCAGTCTGTTGCGATTGCTCTACTCTGCTCTGATTGGTCAGATGGCTCAGTCTGTTGTGATTGGTCTGCTCTGCTCTGATTGGTCAGATGACCCAGTCTGTTGCGATTGCTCTACTCTGCTCTGATTGGTCAGATGACCCAGTCTGTTGCGATTGTTCTACTCTGCTCTGATTGGTCAGATGGCTACGTCTGTTGCGATTGTTCTACTCTGCTCTGATTGGTCAGATGGCTCAGTCTGTTGTGATTGGTCTACTCTGCTCTGATTGGTCAGATGGCTCAGTCTGTTGTGATTGGTCTACTCTGCTCTGATTGGTCAGATGACCCAGTCTGTTGCGATTGCTCTACTCTGCTCTGATTGGTCAAATGGCTCAGTCTGTTGTGATTGGTCTACTCTGCTCTGATTGGTCAGATGGCTCAGTCTGTTGTGATTGGTCTGCTCTGCTCTGATTGGTCAGATGACCCAGTCTGTTGCCATTGCTCTACTCTGCTCTGATTGGTCAGATGACCCAGTCTGTTGCGATTGTTCTACTCTGCTCTGATTGGTTAGATGGCTACGTCTGTTGCAATTGGTCTACTCTGCTCTGATTGGTCAGATGACCCAGTCTGTTGCGATTGCTCTACTCTGCTCTGATTGGTCAGATGGCTCAGTCTGTTGTGATTGGTCTGCTCTGCTCTGATTGGTCAGATGACCCAGTCTGTTGCGATTGCTCTACTCTGCTCTGATTGGTCAGATGACCCAGTCTGTTGCGATTGTTCTACTCTGCTCTGATTGGTCAGATGGCTACGTCTGTTGTGATTGGTCTACTCTGCTCTGATTGGTCAGATGACCCAGTCTGTTGCGATTGCTCTACTCTGCTCTGATTGGTCAGATGGCTACGTCTGTTGCGATTGGTCTACTCTGCTCTGATTGGTCAGATGACCCAGTTTGTTGCGATTGTTCTACTCTGCTCTGATTGGTCAGATGGCTACGTCTGTTGTGATTGGTCTACTCTGCTCTGATTGGTCAGATGGCTACGTCTGTTGCGATTGCTCTACTCTGCTCTGATTGGTCAGATGGCTCAGTCTGTTGTGATTGGTCTACTCTGCTCTGATTGGTCAGATGACCCAGTCTGTTGCGATTGCTCTACTCTGCTCTGATTGGTCAGATGGCTCAGTCTGTTGCGATTGGTCTACTCTGCTCTGATTGGTCAGATGACCCAGTCTGTTGCGATTGCTCTACTCTGCTCTGATTGGTCAGATGGCTCAGTCTGTTGGGATTGGTCTGCTCTGCTCTGATTGGTCAGATGACCCAGTCTGTTGCGATTGCTCTACTCTGCTCTGATTGGTCAGATGACCCAGTCTGTTGCGATTGTTCTACTCTGCTCTGATTGGTCAGATGGCTACGTCTGTTGTGATTGGTCTACTCTGCTCTGATTGGTCAGATGACCCAGTCTGTTGCGATTGCTCTACTCTGCTCTGATTGGTCAGATGGCTACGTCTGTTGCGATTGGTCTACTCTGCTCTGATTGGTCAGATGACCCAGTTTGTTGCGATTGTTCTACTCTGCTCTGATTGGTCAGATGGCTACGTCTGTTGTGATTGGTCTACTCTGCTCTGATTGGTCAGATGGCTAACTCTGTTGCGATTGCTCTACTCTGCTCTGATTGGTCAGATGGCTCAGTCTGTTGTGATTGGTCTACTCTGCTCTGATTGGTCAGATGACCCAGTCTGTTGCGATTGCTCTACTCTGCTCTGATTGGTCAGATGGCTCAGTCTGTTGTGATTGGTCTACTCTGCTCTGATTGGTCAGATGACCCAGTCTGTTGCGATTGCTCTACTCTGCTCTGATTGGTCAGATGGCTCAGTCTGTTGTGATTGGTCTGCTCTGCTCTGATTGGTCAGATGACCCAGTCTGTTGCGATTGCTCTACTCTGCTCTGATTGGTCAGATGGCTCAGTCTGTTGTGATTGGTCTACTCTGCTCTGATTGGTCAGATGACCCAGTCTGTTGCGATTGCTCTACTCTGCTCTGATTGGTCAGATGGCTCAGTCTGTTGTGATTGGTCTACTCTGCTCTGATTGGTCAGATGACCCAGTCTGTTGCGATTGCTCTACTCTGCTCTGATTGGTCAGATGACCCAGTCTGTTGTGATTCTTCTACTCTGCTCTGATTGGTCAGATGACCCAGTCTGTTGCGATTGTTCTACTCTGCTCTGATTGGTCAGATGGCTCAGTCTGTTGCGATTGCTCTACTCTGCTCTGATTGGTCAGATGACCCAGTCTGTTGTGATTGGTCTACTCTGCTCTGATTGGTCAGACGGCTCAGTCTGTTGCGATTGCTCTACTCTGCTCTGATTGGTCAGATGACCCAGTCTGTTACGATTGCTCTACTCTGCTCTGATTGGTCAGATGGCTCAGTCTGTTGTGATTCTTCTACTCTGCTCTGATTGGTCAGATGGCTCAGTCTGTTGCGATTGCTCTACTTTGCTCTGATTGGTCAGATGACTCAGTCTTTTGTGATTGGTTGACCAGTAACAGTGCATGCCCAAAACCAAACCCTCATTAGCATTTATGAATTTCAGCTCTTTCTCAGCATTTGATACACAACGATATGAACAGTAATGATGGTGTCGGTTTTATCGTATAAATTGCTTTGGAAGTGCATTAATATGGATTCGCAGTGCTGAAAATAGCGTCTTCTCGACATGTTGCCAAAACTAACCAATTTCTTCCAGCCTCCGCTACAACTACAGTGTTTGAGGGCGGAGCAAAGTAGACTGTTCGTGGGCAGCCAATGAAGACCATTATGCAAATTTGATACAATCCTACATACACTCACCGGCCACTTTATTAGGTACACCTGTCCAACTGCTCGTTAACACTTAATTTCTAAGCAGCCAATCACATGGCGGCCACTCAGTGCATTTAGGCATGTAGACATGGTCAAGACAATCTCCTGCAGTTCAAACCGAGCATCAGTATGGGGAAGAAAGTTGATTTGAGTGACTTTGAACGTGGCATGATTGTTGGTGCCAGAAGGGCTGGTCTGAGTATTTCAGAAACTGCTAATCTACTGGGATTTTCACGCACAACCATCTCTAGGGTTTACAGAGAATGGTCCGAAAAAGAAAAAACATCCAGTGAGCGGCAGTTCTGTGGGCGGAAATGCCTTGTTGATGCTAGAGGTCAGAGGAGAATGGCCAGACTGGTTCGAGCTGATAGAAGGGCAACAGTGACTGAAATAACCACTCGTTACAACCGAGGTATGCAGCAAAGCATTTGTGAAGCCACAACACGCACAACCTTGAGGCGGATGGGCTACAACAGCAGAAGACTCCACCGGGTACCACTCATCTCCACTACAAATAGGAAAAAGAGGCTACAATTTGCAAGAGCTCACCAAAATTGAACAGTTGAAGACTGGAAAAATGTTGCCTGGTCTGATGAGTCTCGATTTCTGTTGAGACATTCAGATGTTAGAGTCAGAATTTGGCGTAAACAGAATGAGAACATGGAACCATCATGCCTTGTTACCACTGTGCAGGCTGGTGGTGGTGGTGTAATGGTGTGGGGGATGTTTTCCTGGCACACTTTAGGCCCCTTAGTGCCAATTGGGCATCGTTTAAATGCCACGGCCTACCTGAGCATTGTTTCTGACCATGTCCATCCCTTTATGGCCACCATGTACCCATCCTCTGATGGCTACTTCCACCATGTCACAAAGCTCTAATCATTTCAAATTGGTTTCTTGAACATGACAATGAGTTCACTGTACTAAAATGGCCTCCACAGTCACCAGATCTCAACCCAATAGAGCATCTTTGGGATGTGGTGGAACGGGAGATTCGCATCATGGATGTGCAGCCGACAAATCTGCGGCAACTGTGTGATGCCATCATGTCAATATGGACCAAACTCCCTGAGGAATGCTTCCAGCACCTTGTTGAATCTATGCCACGAAGAATTGAGGCAGTTCTGAAGGCAAAAGGGGGTCCAACCCGTTACTAGCATGGGGTACCTAATAAAGTGGCCGGTGAGTGTAGGTTCGTGTAGAAAGTAAAACTGGAATTACTGACGACTCGTTTCAGGCATTTCAGAATCACTTCTTTCTTTTGAGAGACAAAAACTCAATTTATCTGCACTTTGATCTTTGCAGACATTTTACATTTACAAACAGCTATAAACATACTACATGAAAGGTAATAGCTGGAAAGCATAATATGGGCACTTTAATAATGCAGCGTTTCATGCACACACACACACACACACACACACACACACACACACACACACACACACACACACACACACCAGCAGCGATGTGTCCTGACCTTGATGATGACTGCGTGAGCGGGTAAGTTAACACCCCAGGCCAGCGTGGCGGTGCACACCAGAATCTTTATGTATCCTCTTGAAAACATGTTCTCCATGAGTGTTCGGTCCTGCCGTAACATCCCGGCGTGATGGATCCCGAAGCCGTCGGGAAACATCTCCCTCATCTGCTTGTTTCTGGAGCGCTGCACCTGTAGCACACACAGCATCACACATCAGGAAACACACACTAGTCTGGAGTGAAGAGGTTACAGTGGGGATGAAGGCGCACCGGGGTAAACCGTGCATTCGATTTAGTTACACCTTATTTCCAAAGGTCCACTTCAGACATTCTACTAACTAACTATATGTAACTACATGTCAACTAGCAGTCATTAGAGTATTAGTAGACTGTTAGGGTGTAGCATAGACATGTAGAGGAGGATAATGTCTGTTGGGGAGCATAAAAAAAAGTGTGTGCAGATATTAAGCAGACAGTCTACTTATGACAGTTAGTTGGCATGTAGTTGCTAAGTTACTTATAGTTTGTCGAACGTCTAAAATGGACAATCGATTTTTAGTGGAAAATCAAATCGTTACCTTTGATTTTATTCTCCTCTAAACCACTAGATGGCACAGAAACTGAACACAGCAGTTCCCTAACCATTTCATTATGCACATGGAAACTTGGCTGATTCTCGACAAGATCCCGGGCAGCAATGGAAAGTTGATCCTGCACTAATTTGATATAATATTTAATGATTTTAAATAATTTATACAGCAAACAAATGAAAATCGATACAATTACAGAATAGGTCTTGTTAATGTTTTTTTTAGTTTTGTCAAAGGTAATTAAATCAAATGTTTTTGATTAATTGAAGAATATGTACAATTATGGTATTTGTGGTCGGGGCGAAAGGCACAATAACTGATATAATAATAAATAGCTGGCTGACTTTTTCATTTGTTGACATGACATGGTTAGATTCAGATGTTTAATATAATTTATTAAGTTGTGTGTCCAGATAATCACCATATTAATAATAAAACCATATTTAAAAAATATGATATAATCATATCATATAATAAAATATATTCATTGTTACACAGAGATCCCATATGAGAAATTAACGGGGATTGGGGCAAAAAAGCATGAATTAACAAAAATGCCCCCAAAATACAAGATGTGAGTCAAAAAATTGCCCCTGCAGAATTAAAATAAATACAAAAGGAAATGTGAAAATGGCTGAAAAGTGTAAATTGCGCCATCATATTTAAATATTTAGCTATATATTTAAATATAAATATCTATTTTCACATGCACTGAAAAGTTATGTAGGCGGTTGACTATTTGTATTACGTAAAAGTGTGTCATGCATGGAGGAGTCTCGGGACAGTTGAGGAAATTGATTGTGGCAGGTTCAGTGACAATTTTGCAAGTTCATTTTTTTTATTAAAAAAATGAAATATTATATTATATTTTATTGATATTATAGGAAGTATGTGATTTCTATGGAAGCTTGTTTCCACCACAGATTAAAAAAGAAAAAAGGTAATTGCGACTTTTTTTCCTCACAATTGTGAGTTTACACACGTGATATTAAGTCGTAATTGCATGATATAAAGTCACAATTGTGTGATATAAAGTCAGAATTGTGTGTTATAAAGTCAGAATTGTGTGATATAAAGTCACAATTGTGTGTTATAAAGTCAGAATTGTGTGATATAAAGTCACAATTGTGTGTTATAAAGTCAGAATTGCGTGATATAAAGTCACAATTGTGTGTTATAAAGTCATAATTACGTAATATTAGAAATAAACTCGCAATTCTGACTTTATAACACGCAATTGAGAGATATAAAGTCAGAATTGCGTGATATAAAGTCGTAATTGCGTGATATAAAGTCGTAATTGCGTGATATAAAGTCACAATTGTGTGATATAAAGTCAGAATTGTGTGTTATAAAGTCAGAATTGTGTGATATAAAGTCACAATTGTGTGTTATAAAGTCAGAATTGTGTGATATAAAGTCACAATTGTGTGTTATAAAGTCATAATTACGTAATATTAGAAATAAACTCGCAATTCTGACTTTATAACACGCAATTGAGAGATATAAAGTCAGAATTGCGTGATATAAAGTCGTAATTGCGTGATATAGTCAGAATTGTGTGATATAAAGTCATAATTGCGTGATATAAAGTCGCAATTGTGTGATATAAAGTCACAATTGCGTGTTGCGTGATATAAAGTCATAATTGTGTGATATAGTCATAATTGTGTGATATAAAGTCATAATAGCGTGATATAAAGTCATAATTGTGTGATATAAAGTCATAATTGCGTGATATAAAGTCATAATTGCGTGATATAAAGTCATAATTGTGTGATATAAAGTCATAATTGTGTGATATAAAGTCAGAATTGTGTGATATAAAGTCATAATTGTGTGATATAAAGTCATAATTGTGTGATATAAAGTCGCAATTGTGTGATATAAAGTCGCAATTGTGTGATATAAAGTCGCAATTGTGTGATATAAAGTCATAATTGTGTGATATAGTCATAATTGTGTGATATAAAGTCATAATTGTGTGATATAAAGTCATAATTGTGTGATATAAAGTCATAATTGTGTGATATAAAGTCATAATTGTGTGATATAAAGTCGCAATTGTGTGATATAGTCATAATTGTGTGATATAAAGTCATAATTGCGTGATATAAAGTCATAATTGCGTGATATAAAGTCATAATTGTGTGATATAAAGTCATAATTGTGTGATATAAAGTCGCAATTGTGTGATATAAAGTCGCAATTGCGTGATATAAAGTCATAATTGTGTGATATAAAGTCATAATTGTGTGATATAAAGTCATAATTGTGTGATATAAAGTCATAATTGTGTGATATAAAGTCATAATTGCGTGATATAAAGTCATAATTGTGTGATATAAAGTCATAATTGTGTGATATAAAGTCGCAATTGTGTGATATAAAGTCATAATTGTGTGATATAAAGTCAGAATTGTGTGATATAGTCATAATTGCGTGATATAAAGTCAGAATTGTGTGATATAAAGTCATAATTGCGTGATATAAAGTCGCAATTGTGTGATATAAAGTCAGAATTGCGTGATATAAAGTCAGAATTGTGTGAAATAAAGTCGCAATTGTGTGATATAAAGTCAGAATTGCGTGATATAAAGTCATAATTGCGTGATATAAAGTCAGAATTGTGTGATATAAAGTCAGAATTGCATGAAATAAAGTCGCAATTGTGTGATATAAAGTCAGAATTGTGTGATATAAAGTCAGAATTGCGTGATATAAAGTCGTAATTGCATGATATAAAGTCAGAATTGTGTGATATAAAGTCATAATTGCGTGATATAAAGTCATAATTGTGTGATATAAAGTCAGAATTGCGTGATATAAAGTCAGAATTGTGTGATATAGTCAGAATTGCGTGATATAAAGTCAGAATTGCGTGATATAAAGTCAGAATTGTGTGATATAGTCAGAATTGCGTGATATAAAGTCAGAATTGCGTGATATAAAGTCAGAATTGCGTGATATAAAGTCGTAATTGCGTGATATAAAGTCAGAATTGTGTGATATAAAGTCATAATTGCGTGATATAGTCAGAATTGCGTGATATAAAGTCAGAATTGCGTGATATAAAGTCAGAATTGTGTGATATAAAGTCGTAATTGCGTGATATAAAGTCAGAATTGTGTGATATAAAGTCATAATTGCGTGATATAAAGTCAGAATTGTGTGATATAAAGTCATAATTGCGTGATATAAAGTCAGAATTGCGTGATATAAAGTCGTAATTGCGTGATATAAAGTCAGAATTGCGTGATATAAAGTCGTAATTGCGTGATATAAAGTCAGAATTGTGTGATATAAAGTCAGAATTGCGTGATATAAAGTCAGAATTGCGTGATATAAAGTCAGAATTGCGTGATATAAAGTCAGAATTGTGTGATATAAAGTCGTAATTGCGTGATATAAAGTCAGAATTGTGTGATATAAAGTCAGAATTGCGTGATATAAAGTCAGAATTGTGTGATATAGTCAGAATTGCGTGATATAAAGTCGTAATTGCGTGATATAAAGTCAGAATTGTGTGATATAAAGTCATAATTGCGTGATATAAAGTCAGAATTGTGTGATATAAAGTCATAATTGCGTGATATAAAGTCGCAATTGTGTGATATAAAGTCACAATTGCGTGTTGCGTGATATAAAGTCATAATTGTGTGATATAGTCATAATTGTGTGATATAAAGTCATAATAGCGTGATATAAAGTCATAATTGTGTGATATAAAGTCATAATTGCGTGATATAAAGTCATAATTGCGTGATATAAAGTCATAATTGTGTGATATAAAGTCATAATTGTGTGATATAAAGTCAGAATTGTGTGATATAAAGTCAGAATTGTGTGATATAAAGTCATAATTGTGTGATATAAAGTCGCAATTGTGTGATATAAAGTCACAATTGTGTGATATAAAGTCAGAATTGTGTGATATAAAGTCATAATTGCGTGATATAAAGTCGCAATTGTGTGATATAAAGTCACAATTGCGTGTTGCGTGATATAAAGTCATAATTGTGTGATATAGTCATAATTGTGTGATATAAAGTCATAATAGCGTGATATAAAGTCATAATTGTGTGATATAAAGTCATAATTGCGTGATATAAAGTCATAATTGCGTGATATAAAGTCATAATTGTGTGATATAAAGTCATAATTGTGTGATATAAAGTCAGAATTGTGTGATATAAAGTCAGAATTGTGTGATATAAAGTCATAATTGTGTGATATAAAGTCGCAATTGTGTGATATAAAGTCACAATTGTGTGATATAAAGTCAGAATTGTGTGTTATAAAGTCAGAATTGTGTGATATAAAGTCACAATTGTGTGTTATAAAGTCAGAATTGTGTGATATAAAGTCACAATTGTGTGTTATAAAGTCATAATTACGTAATATTAGAAATAAACTCGCAATTCTGACTTTATAACACGCAATTGAGAGATATAAAGTCAGAATTGCGTGATATAAAGTCGTAATTGCGTGATATAGTCAGAATTGTGTGATATAAAGTCATAATTGCGTGATATAAAGTCGCAATTGTGTGATATAAAGTCACAATTGCGTGTTGCGTGATATAAAGTCATAATTGTGT